TTAGGGTTTAATCACAGTAACTGTAAAAGTAACACTACATTTATAATATTAAGCAGAGGCTATGATTTGGGGGAGGGGTCAGTTCAGTCCCAGTAGATTTACTGTTGGGCTTTAGTGTTTACATGATGAGATACTATTGACCCCAGTAGCTTTGTGTTGGAACTGTATTTCTTTTCAACAAATAAAGTAATTTTATGTTAAACTGGAGTCATTTTTCAAATCAATTTTTTTCCCCAGTGGTGGCTTATTTGGAGTATATCCTTCCCCAATCACTAATTGGTACAGTAGGTACTTAAGGTGGAAACCAGATCTTTCTAAGTTGGTTGTTCAGGTCAGATATCTGAACCAAGTGACTGCTTTCAAGAGTTTGTGGTTCCTCTCAAGAGAGAGGACACAGCTAATGTGTGTTGGTGGATTCTGCCTTGACAGAAGGGACAGCTGCATGTGTGGACAAGACCTTTAGAATTTATTCATCGCTTTTTTATTCATCTCTTCTTTATTGGAACCAGGCTTTAGCCAGCCCTAAGGTTTTGGTCCTATTGAATTTATTTGAACCTTCAGCTTTTGATAGTGGTGTGTAAGCTATGCCCTGACATTTAACTTCCTATATTTGATGCTTCTTCCACTGTAGATTTGGCCTGGCACCTGGGCACCTCATATTGGAAACATGCACCTCAAATACGTCAACTGATTTAGGAGGGCCTACCTCTTTTTAAGCCTTGTTTGGAGAAACCTATGACCTTGGAAGAACCTGGGAATTTTTTAATGTGCCTAACTAAGCAATTTTTTTCTGTGGGCTGTAACAAGAGACACTTGTTCGCCTGTTGTGTAAGAACAAATTGAGTTACCTATTCAACTGATTCTGTTCTCCAGTTAGTTTAGCCATTTTGAACTCAATCGGATGAACCTAGTGCTTTTTGGCTAAACACTACTGAATGCTACTTGTATGCAGCAGAGAACTAGATGATTACATGATTTCAACCTTTTAGGGTGGTAAATACATGTATAATTGTTTACATACTTAAAAGGAAAAAAACGTTGAGTAAATTTCATGTCGTATAGTGGCTCTACTTTATGTAGCCTGTATTAATGTGAAATATTTACCTGAATATTCAATAAAAAGATGAACATTAAGTTGTGTGTGGCAATCTTGAGATGAAATACTGCAGATTGTTACTTAGTGTACTGTGGTGGTTCTTATTTCTGAGAATTACCAGATCATACTTTTTGTATAGCTACACTTAATATATTAAATATATTTTCAGAATTTGAGAAATTTCCCTCTAAATAATATTTCCCTTACAGTGAACTTGTTTAGGTACCCACTAGAAAGGGACAGATTGAAATAAGGTTGAAGGTCATGTTAACATTCTAGCTAGCTTTACTCACTATTCAGAAAACCTGAGATGTTTCTCTATCCACCATTAGATAGTTTTAGAACCAGAACACAAGCATCTTGAGAGTCTCTTCTAGGGGTGTGCCCCCAAAAAAATATCCAGTAAGATTCGGATATATTGAACCTGAATTTTCTTTTTGGGGAAACCCGAAAAACCCAAAATATCTATACCGGTAAAGCATAGATATCCAAAAATTTTCAGAATTCTCGAAAAATTCGGGTCCATTATATCCAATGAGGCCATTGAAGTCAATGGCGAAAATCTTCTGGAACGTTTGCAGGGAGCTGGGGGGGGGGGTGAGGTAGAGGCTGCAAATTTGGACTGTAGCTGCTGGAGCCTCTCCCCACAAGACCCCCAAAGTTTTGAAAAGATTGGACCAGGGGGTCCAATTCCAGGGGCATCCAAAGAGGGTGCCCCCAGTTCTCCATTGTTTCCTATGGGCAATTGGGGATGGGAAAAAGGCAAGCAGATCTCCCTGTAAGAAACGTAAGTGAGGTGTGTGGTGGTGGTGAGAGGGGGCATGTTTGCCAGGCCAGCAGCAGAACCTGTGCAATGTGCCCCCCAGAACCAGTGTCACTGTGCCAGTCAGTGCCCAAACCCAACTGGACTCAGTTCAAACCAGAGAATCTCATATTTCAGAGCTAAATAAAGACGTATGATTCTGTTAAGTCACCAGCATGGCACGTCCCAGTAGCCAAAACAAAATGGAGTCTTGTTGCCCCTTATTTCATTAAAAATTGGCATTCTAGCTTGGAAAATGGGAGGACATCCTTACAATGAGACTGATCCCTTACTGATAAGTGTAGGTGGGCAACAGAAGTACAGGACAAAATTGGTATCTGGCACTCTTAGCCTTCTAGGGAGAAGGTGACAATGCCACGTCTGTTGTGAATCAGTGAAAGCCTAATTAGAACAGGTTGCTGCTGTTAATATTTATTGGTGTAGCTACGTTACCTCATCTGTCTTTGCATGTGAGAGAGATTCATGCGTCTGTTCCCTTCCCCTATAGATCTGGGGATTGAGAAGTCTGTTGACCATAGGAGCTTCTCCAGTGAGTCCTCATCTTCCCCCGTCTGCTCTTCTGTATTTAGCCAATTGATCTTGGATAGTTTGGTTCAAAGCCAGAGCATTCTAAATTCAGTTTAGTTTTTCACAAAGTTTGGAAATTTTAACCTGCACTTGAAGCAGAGAAACGTGGTGCTTGCTTTTGAACCCCACTGCTGTTCTCTATTTCCCAAGTATCCTTGCACCCATTCAGTTTTCAAATGCAAATGGACTGGAGTTCCCAAGCAGCATTACACAAAAAGCTCCCTTTTTTGAACAGCAGATGTTCACTCCTAGGAACCTCTGCACACTCTGGTTAATATCTGCTAGACACAGCAGAGCTTCCTCTTCCACATCCCTTGAGTCTGCTAGCTAAAGAACATGATATGCAGATAAAAACAGAGCAGCTAAGCATACGAAGCTCCTGCACATCAAACTCTGCTTCCAAGGCCAAAATATGCTGTTTACTCCTCTTGTGGTTTAGTCCTCAATTGAAAAGCCAGATTAGAATCCTCCTCCTCTTCACTCATACCTTGATCGGACAGGAAAGTTGAGTCTCTTCCCTTGCCACAACAGGCTTCTTCAGCTGCAGCGAGGATCTAGGGCGTTTTGGTGCAGTTGCCATTAATTTTATGATGTATGCAGGGTGAGGCTGCAGCTCTGCAATGTGTTTGGTTCACATGTGGATGGATACTCCGAATTTATCATTGGCCTCATTTCCAGACACAGGATCATTTATATGGACCAGCAAGCGCAAACGTGTACGGTCTTATCATTTGCCTAGCCTACCTCTGTCCTGCCTCAAATCTCTAGTGTCTCTGCCCTGTTGGAAGGTATTGCTCTCCGAGAGAATATGAAGCAGCAAGAGGCTTTTGCAGTAGGAAGCACTCCTTAAGCCTCCTGCGCCAAAGGAAAACGCCTTGGATGAAAGGAAAACACTGCCACCAGAATGGGTCCAGGGGATATAACCCCATGGGATTGCATATAAGATCACTAATGGTTCGTACTTCTGCTGAATTGGGCTGAGCGTATGTGACAGTAATTAAACAAACTCCACTTTTAAGTGTAGAAAAAACAACACACAACTGGAACTGGTGCATTGCATCAGCAGGCACTAGGGAAGGAGCACAGAAAAGGGGCAACCTGAGAAGATAGCAGGGAGTGCAAAATTGCTGTGACTTAGATGTCAAATTTTGGCCAACTTTGAAGTCGGGGGGGTGGCCTTTTTTGGGGGGAAAATGCAGTGTTTTCTGGCCATGGTAAACTTGCCACTTTAGCGACATAAACTGGTACTACTGGCATTACTTATGGTCTAATCTAGCCATGGGGACTGAGGGGAGCCTCCCCGTTCAGAGTAAGCCTCTGAATCCCAGAGCCAGGAGGCAGTCTCGGGGGGAGGCCTTAGCCCCTGTATCCCGTTGTTGGCCCTCCAAAATAACTGGTTGGTGAATGTGCCAGAGAGGATGCTGGACTAGATGGACCCTCACTGGTCTGATCCAGCAGGGCTCTTGTTAACGTTCTTATGAAGGCCTCGGCCTCTATGCCCTTTTGTTGGCCTCCAGAGGAACTGGTTGGCCACAGTGTGAGACAGGATGCGGATCCTGATGGACCACTGGTCTGATCCAGTAGGGCTCTTCTTGTGTTCTTACGTTCTTATACTAACAAAATTTAAAATTATAAATGACTTTTCTATAAGTAAAACTGCAAATACACCTAATACTTGAGAGAGAGAGCTGCAAACTACTGCATCTTTGGCAGAAACTAAGTTGAAAACAGACAGAAATCGTCTCATACTGTCACTATGGGACTAGAAGCCTATCTGGATGCCGAGTTAAACTTTAACGCTGAAGTAGTTGAACTATTCAGTAGTGTATATACACGTAACACTGTAATCGTGTATACAATTAGTTGCAATAAATGTATCCCTGATGTCCATATTTATACACAGGAGTCATCACCTAATGCTGTAGATTCTTAGACAACTTTGCATACCACACACTGAGTGAAAACCTTGGGCCAGATCCAGATGAAATTGGGAAATTTCCACTGAGTCCCCCTTCCTCATGCCATTCTTCAGGAGGCTGCAAGGGGAAGCAGGGAAGTTCCATTCTGCCATTGGAAAAATGAGTCTGACTTGGATAGCCCAGGTAAGCCCGATGTCGTCAGATCTCAGAAGCTAAGTGGGGCTGAACCTGGCAAGTACTTGGAAGGGAGACCTCCAAGCAATACCAGGGTTGGGATGCAGAGCAAAGCAATAGTGAGCCACCTCTCTGAAACATCGAAGCCCCACTAGGGGTCACCAGAAGCCAATCATAACTTCCAGGCATGCATGGACACACACACACACACACAGAGGAAAGGGGGGGGAAAGGAAAAATGAGTCTGGGTCCAACCTTTTTTCTTAATGATTGGATCTTTTCAGTGTCCCTCAATTTCTACTTTGTACTGGGGGGGGGGGCTGAAAAGGGGGGAGTGTTTCCTTTCCAGGCTTCCACATCTTTAGGAGGAATATTTTTTCTTCAGATTCTAAAACATCAGTTTGTGAAGCAAAACAGAAGCAAGGCTTTTTCCTAATGAAGGCATAAAACATTTTACTTAAGATTTGTAAATGTCTGCTCCCCTCCCCTTTGTGGTAGACTCCACTGCTTGAATACATAGGTACACAAGTGCAGGGGATCACAAAGCTACCCTTTGTTCAGTGTCTACTGCCCAGCGGAGACATGGGAAGGGTGTAGGAATGTAGGATGTATGAGGAGCAGGAAGTGCTGAGAGGAGGCTACACCCATCCAGACTTTCTTCCAGTTTGCACAGGCTATTTGGGCTGGGCATTTTTTACCTCCATCACTGGCTTCAGAAGGCACTTCCTTTCCTTACTGAATGACCAATCAGACAGGTCAGCAGCAGGGAACATGTATCTGTCTGACTCTGGAGGGGATAACAGCAGCTTCTCAGCTTGAAAGGAAATGGTCCAGGTTGTTTCCGCGACAAGGCCCAGCGTTATATCGCTGGCAGAGTCCCTGGGCCCAGCCTTTGGTGTTCTGGCTCCAGCTGGGTTCCAACTTCTTGCTCCTCTAAGGCCAGATCCACTGTGGGTGATTTCCTTGTTTCTGCAATGAGCCTTTTGACTCCTACCATCCACTGGCTGACTTCATTAATATGGTCCACCATCAGTGAGCGATGAATCTCATCAGCTGCATCCCAGTGTTGACACTTAAGCTCTGAAAGAAACAAGAGCGCACCTCAGAACTTAAAAGGCAGTGGAAAAGGCATCCCGGTCACCTGCTCTTCTACAGGGAACGTGTGATGAGAAATACAGCTGTCTGCAATAGACCTATTGCGTGACCGTTCGGTTACAAAAGGGGTTCTGGTTTTCAAATTTTGTGACGAGAAGTGCCCAGAGGGAAAGGATGCTGTTGGCACATCCTGGTTGCACTGCTTACCTTCTGTTAGAATCCTCATTCCTCTTCTCACAGGAGCGGAGAGTCTCCCTTGTGTCCACATCTGCTCCAGCGTTACCAAGCGCTTGCTGATATCATCGCAAACCTGTTTCTGAAAACAGAAGTGCAGTTTTCTCAGGCAGGCGTCTTTCCTGTATGCTGTGTTTACGTCCTGTTCACCACTGCAAAGATACCACCTTGTTCTTCTCGTCAGAAGAAGGATAAAGTCAGATGCTCTCAGTGGCTCCTTCAGACATCACACCAAATCGTTTGGATCGCAAATGTACAACAGGCAAACAGTGGCTTAAAGCAGTGGTCCCCCGTGAGGTGCCCACCTGCTTCTTTGACAGAGCATCTTTTCCCCAGAGCAAAGAGCCAAGCCTGCCTTTCTTTCACCTCAGCTGTGTTTGCAGGAAGCGTGCATCAAGAAACAGGTTCCTCTCTCTTAGGCAGTGCTTGGATTGCCACCTTCCCAGTGTTCTGTGATTGGCCCCAGCACTCTGGCAGCCATTTTGAGACAGCACTCACTCCCCATCCTTGATACACTTGCCCTCTACTGTCTTCTATTCTCTGAGCGCTCAGCTTTATAAAGTCACACATCTCCAAAATACATAAAATTCCAAAGGCAGAATGATGTCTGAAGGGGCCAACATAAACTAATTGCCATCACATCAAGCTACCAATCTAAGGTTGCAAGTCCATTTCGAACCATAGTCCACAGCAGTGTTCCCTCTAAGCTGAGTTAGTGTGAGCTAGCTCACAGTTTTTGAGCCTCCAGCTCACCCATTTTTGTCTTAGCTCAGGAAGGATGGCTCCAGAGCAAACTAATTTATGCAGTAGCCTAATCGCTCACTCACAACTTTAATGCCAGCAGCTTGCGAAGTAGAATTTTTGCTCACAAGACTCTACAGCTTAGAGGGAACTTTGGTCCACAGTGTCTGATTTTGATTTGCCAGTTAACAGCAAATCATGGTTCAGTCGATTCAGATGTTCTCTAACCACAGTTATTCTTTAATTATAGTTCTCCGTGACGTCTGAACTGAGTTACCATTATGGTCTTGCACAACTGCAAGCAGTAGCCAATTTCTCCATATTAGAGGAGTCCTAATTGTGGCTCAGAGGTTAAGATGCTGAGCTGCAGACTGGAAGGTCAGTAGTTCGGCAGTTTGAGATCTGAATGTGCCACATGACGGAATGAGCTCCTGTCTTTGGCCCCAGCTCCTGCTAACCTAGCAGTCTGAAAGCAAGAAATTGCAAGTAGATAAATAGGTACCGCTTCGGCGGGAAGGTAGCAGCGTCCCATGCGTTTTGGCGTTTAGTCATGCCAGCCACATGACCATAGAAACGTCTTCAGACAGCGCTGGCGCTTTGGCTTGGAAGCAGAGATGAGCACCGCCCCCTAGAGTCGGATTCGACTAGCTTCAAGCAAGGGAAACCTTTTCCTTTTTAAATTGTATACAACACGAAGAATTAAGTTATTCCATTCAAGGAAATCTGTATTCCCCACCAAGGAAACCCCAATTCATTTTATGTGATATGCTAAATAATTCTATTTAGAAGCTGGTGGGATCTGAAATGTAGATTTTCAAAATAATGGAGCTTGGGGTGCAGAGAAAAGCACAGATGTGGGACTGAAAATTGTCCAGCACTGTTAATCTTTTGCAGAATAGTTTCCCACTTCTATGTATCTTTCTCCATCCCATTGACACTATTGTGTTTCTACTTTTTCCTGTGTTGTTTCACACTTGATTCTTTCACTTGCCCCTCTTTCTGTCTTGAGGCTTTCTGCCCTTCACCCTTACTCCACCCTAGTTCTCTAGCCTGCTTCCAGGTGTGCTAAAGGCAACGAAAGGACGGGGAGGATGGGACTGGCAGAGGTAGGCGTACGAGCCAAACTCCTACAAAGTCTGGGTAGCCACTGCAGCTTGGGCCTTGGCTGCATTTGTCATCATTATGGGCAAGTGCTCACTTGAAATTGGGGGCGTAGCCAGTGGTGGGGCTTTAGGGGCCGCACCCCCTATTGGATCATCAAAGCCCCCTAGCCAATCTTCCCCTTTCCTTTCCTTAATTTCAGCCACGCTGCTGATGCACCAGCCCAAAGCTGTTATCGGCATCACTGATTCCTTCCTGGCTTCCTTAAAGTTCCTTCCTCCTTGGATTGGCCGGCACAGCCTGTAAACTGTAGCTGTGCAGCTCCCGTCAAGGAGGACATAAATGTGACAGCCCGGTGGACTTCACAGTGCCCACTTTGGGCTGGATTCTGTCTTTGGTCTTTGACGTGGGCACAGAGAACAGCAAAACCATACGGTTGCATAGGTTTCCCTGGGATCCATGGAGTGGGGAGGCAGGAAGGTGATGGCACCCTGCCTCCGGCTCCCTCCCTCCTTGGGTTTGCCTCTGCTTTTCTCTCCTCCTTTCCCCTCAACCATTTCCCTCGGAGTTTGAGGCTTCTGAACTTCTCACAACTTCTAGCAGACTTGGCAACCGTTGATCTTGTTGGTCTGAACTGTGTGTGACTTGGATGGCAGCAGGAGCGGCTTGTGGGGGGGGGGAGTTGTGTGTTTGTGTGCTTCCCCACGAGTAAAAAAAAATGCCCCTAGAGCAGTGATGGTGGACCTTTTAGAGACCGAATGCCCAAACTGCGACCCAAAACCCACTTATTTATCGCAGAGTGCCAACACGGCAATTTAACCTGAATACTGAGGTTTGACTTTAGAAAAAAACAACTCATACATTAACTTTAGATGATCCAAACAAAGTAAGGAAGGAATCCCAAATGCTTTCATTGACTTAAAATCATTTCGCAGAGGATTCGACACTTTAATGATGGTCTGGGCCTGGCTGGGGCGATGGCACGTGTGCCCACAGAAAGGGCTCTGAGTGCCACCTCTGGCACCCGTGCCATAGGTTCGCCAACACTGCCCTAGAGCAAACAATTCCTGTCACAGCCCATTACTCTGTGTGGGTGTGAAAGCTGGACAATGAAGAAAGGTGACAGGAAGAAAATAGGTTCCTTTGAGATGTGGTGTCGGAGGAGAGTTTTACAGATCCTGTGGGCTGCCAAAAAGACTTAAGTGGGTCCTAGGCCAAATCAAGCCTGAACTCTTCCTAGAAGCCAAAATGGCTACACTGAGGCCATCATTCTTTGGTCACATTATGAAAAGACGAGTCACTGGAAAAGACAATCACGCTAGGAAAAGCTGAAGGCAGCAGGAAAAGAGGAAGGACCAACATGAGATGGACTGGCTCAATCAAGGGAGCCACGGCCTTCAGGCTGCAAGACCTGAGAATGGCTGCCAACAACAGGATGTTTTGGAGAACATTAATTCGTAGGGTCCCCATAAGTTGGATGTGACTTGCCGGCACTTACCGTACATATCAGTACACAGGAAAACAGACGTTCTGAAAGAGCCAATCACTCCTCTTACCCGTGCAGATTCCCTGCAGTGGTCCAAAGCCTCGTTCAATGGGGACAGAACATCCTCCACACCACACTCTTCTTCAGCCTCAAGGGCATTCGTCTTCAAAGGAGGGTCTGGCAAAGTAGAAGGGGGCAACCCTGCAGACTTTGGGGGAAATGCTGGCGGTGCAGGTGAGGAGAGAGCACTTTCTGGAACGAGAAGGGAAGAAGGGTGTAACCAAGACTGCTTGTTTCCAAAGTGAGGCGGGGGGACCACTCTTAATTTTGGCCTACTAAATGCACATTGTTTTTGAAGCACCCTGAAAAAGGATTAAGATGAACTAGATTTTTGTAGTATGGTGGGGATGAACACAGAGAGGTAGGGAGTTACAACTCTTAAAAAGCCTATTGAAGACAATGCTTCTACACACACACACCCAATCGAAAGGAGGGTGGGCTTTTTACGCAGAACGGTTTTTCTATTGTCCATCAGAATCAAGTCACATCCACAATATTGCTAACATTGCAATACCTACATTTACAACTGAGCAAACAATAGAGTCTGTTCTCTTGAAGAGTTTCAGGTGGGTAGCTGTGATAGTCTGTAGTACAAATATGAACAAATATGAGGCTGACCTCTACTGAATCCATAAAGTTCAGTATTGCCTGCTCAGACAGGCAGTGTCTAGAGGTCTTTCATGTCTTCTGCTACCCGGTCCTTTAACTGTAGATACTGGGGTTTGAACCTGGGACCTTCTGTATACCAATCAGATGCTCTGCCACTGAGCCATGGGCCCCTCCCCTAACAGAACATCTTGCCTGTGGAAAATTAAGATTCTACATGAGGTGGCAGAAAGCATTACAGTTGGATTTTCCTCCAAATACACTCTCAAGAAATGCGATATGATTAATAAATTGTGTGGAGAGGAGAGATTGGATTGATACCCCGCCCTTCACTACCCAAAGGTGTCTCAGAGTGGCTTACAAACTCCTTTCCCTCCCCACAACAGACACCCTGTGATGGAGGTGGGGCTGAGAGAGCTCTGACCAAGAACTGCTCTTCTTCAAGAACAGCTCTTATCAGAACTATGGCTTGCCCAAGGTCATCCAGCCAGGTGCAAGTGGAGGAGTGGGGAATCAAACCTGGTCCTCCCAGATTAGAGTCCGTGCACTTAACCACTACACCAAACTGTGGTGGGTCTATCAGTCTCCACTCAGGTACCGCACAGGTAAAAGTAACACTGACAATATGGTAATAGCACAGCAAAATTAGAATCCAGTATAGCAATGTGATGACTGATTTTTCAGGGTACCTGACAAAGTAAGGTTTGACTCATGAAGGACTGTACCCTGGAAAATTTTGTTGGTTTTTACGGTGCTATACTTGAATGTTGTTTCACACTCTTCTCGTAAATCTTTTTATTTCGTTATTTTACAGTATCATTGCATCGTTTAACACTTATTTATATACCTCCCTACAAGAAGATATATCCTTACATTTTCTAACAGTTATCATATTTAACAGAAATTAAAAAGAAAGAAATAACTCTTATTGTCCAATATTATTTTACATACACAATGCATTTACACATGTATTTTTAACTTGTCCCTCATGTCAGCTAACCTATCTCTCATCTATTTCACACTCTTGAAGGGCCTCTGTAAGAAACCATAAAAGGTACTGAAGTGCCAGAAGTCTGCTACTCAGTACCTTTTGCGGAGCATTCTAATACACCATCCAAGAATGTGTGCACACAGTCTCAGAGGGATGATTAGTGACTGATCTAGCCGCCAAATGGGCGATCTGAGACCAGGTCACTCATCTTTCCCAGCCTAAAGCTACTCCACAGAGTTGTTGTGGGGAGAAAATGGAGACACAGAGGAATCTCCCTAAGATCTTCTGGGGGAAGAGCTGGAAAACAATGAGACTCTCATTCCGATATATTCCGGTGGGTATCTGTGTTGGTCTGAAGCAGCAGAACAAAGTTTGAGTCCATTGGCACCTCTTAAGACCAATGTAACAAGCTTTCATGTGCATGCACACGTCATCAGATCTGAAAAAGTGTGCATGCACATGAAAGCTTATACATGGAATAAAATTTAATTGGTCTGATGGCGCTACTGGACTTAATCTCATTCTAAAATAGACTGAGGGAGATCGATTCCAGCACCTCCTTACATGCTGTCGGGAGTTGCACAAATGGCGACTTTAACCACACACACAGACTGACTCAGTCCTGAAGCTGTGGAGTCCGCAAGTTACCATTACAACTACCCGAGGGTCCACGGGAAGCACCACAGGGAACAAAGGTTGCCAGCTCCAGGTTGGGACATTCCTGGGGATTTGGAAGTGGAGACACTGGAGTTTAGGGAGTGACCTCAGTTAAGGTTGCCAGGTCCCCCCTGGAAACCAGCAGGGGATGGAGGGTGGGGTTGCCAGATCCAGGACAGGAGACTCCTGGAGATTTGGGGATGGAGCTTGGGGAGGACAGAGACCTCCCCAGGGTACAATGCCTGCCCTCCAGTTCTCCAGGGGAACTGATTCCTGTAGTCTGAAGATGAGCTATTATTCCAGTCCCACCTCGAGGCTGGCATCCCCAGCGGCTTTGTAATCCCATACATCAGTGATGGCGAACCTTTTAGAGACCGAGTGCCCAAACTGCGACCCAAAACCCACTTATTTATCGCAAATTGCCAACACGGCAATTAAACCTGAATACTGAGGTTCTACTTTAGAAAAAAAAACAACTACATTAACTTAAGATGATCCAAACAAAGTAAGGAAAGCAATCCCAAATGCTTTCATTGACTTTAAATTATTTGGCAGAGAATTCGACCCTTTAATGATGGTCTGGGCCTGGCTGGGGCGATGGCACGCGTGCCCACAGAGAGGGCTCTGAGTGCCGCCTCTGGCACCTGTGCCATAGGTTCGCCACGACTGCCATACATCATCCATCCCTTCCCGAAGCTGCCACATTTCTCCAGGGGAACCTAACGGCCGTTGTCCAAAGATGCTGTTGTGACCCGTGTTCCCGCTAAGCCAAGTCAGTGTGAGCTAGCTCTACGTTCTTTAGCCTCCAGCTCACACATTTTCCCTCTCCGCTCAGGAAGGGAGGGCTCCAGAACAAACTAACTGATTCAGCCGCCAAATCGTTGGCTCACAACTTTAATGCCCGGAGCTCACAAAGGAGAATCTTTGCTCTCAGGACTCCGCAACTCAGAGGGAACATTGGCTGTAACGCTGGGAGAAGGCCAGGCCCCACCTGGTACTCAACAAGCACACAGGGAACACGGCGAAGTTAGATAAACACAGAAAACACCGTGTTGAGATAATACAATATCCACATGTACTTCTAGCTAAATATATTTGCTTCTTATACACCACATCAACTCTAGTGTATTGTAAACACTTTCAAACAACAACATCACATTTCAAACACTTTCAAACTAAGTTCTATAACATGAAGAGCCCAACTGTCTTCTTCCTGATGGAGGATGAATACCAATGTACAGTTATTCGTTACCGAACAATGCAGCAGCCTATTGTACATTTCCCAAGTGAAATGTGAGGACGTCGTTTGAAAGTGTTTACAATAAGAGTTGAACAGAAGACGATGGCAGTTAAAGAAATGTGACCTATGAGATAGAATATATGAAAAAGGGTAGTTAAAATAATAATTACATATTAAACTTTGTTTTAGGAGGAAGGGTTAGACAAGAAAAGAAACTAGGTAGGGGTGGGATCACTGCGAAGCCTGGAGAAAGGGAGGGAGGGAGGGGAAAGGGCTATATAATAGAAATGAGGAAATGTCATAATACTGGACATGTTGTGACCCGACAATAAAATGTTTTTTAAAAAAGTGTTTACAATCCACTAGAGTTGATGTGGTGTATAAAAAAGCAAATCTATTTAGCTATCAGCACATGTGAATATCGCGTTTATTATTTCAACACGGTGTTTTCTGTGTTTACCCACCTGGAAATTGGCGACTCTAATAAGGAATCCGGAGCAATGTTCCCTCTGAGCTGTGGAGTCTTGTGAGCAAATGTTCTACTTTGTGAGCCACTGGCCTTGAAGTTACGAGCGAGCGATTTGGCTCCTGCATAAATCAGTTTGCTCTGGCGCCATCCCTTCCTGAGCCAAGACAAAAATGTGTGAGCCGGAGGCTAAAAAACGGTGAGCGAGCTCACACTTACTCAGCTTAAAGGGAACACTGATCATAAGCAACGCTCCCTCTAAGCTGTGGAGTCTGGTGAGCAAAAATCCCACTTTGTGAGCTACTGGCGTTGAAGTTACGAGCGAGCAATTTGGCAACTGCATTAAATCAGTTTGCTCTGGCGCCCTCCTTCCTGAGCTAAGAGAAAAATGTGTGAGCCGGAAGCTAAAAAACTGTGAGCTAGCTCACACTTACTCAGCTTAGAGGGAACACTGGTCATAAGCAACGCTCCCTCTAAGCTGTGGAGTCCGGTGAGCAAAAATCCCACTTTGTGAGCTACTGGCGTTGAAGCTGTGAGCCAGCGATTTGGCTCCTGCATAAATCAGTTTGCTCTGGAGCCCTCCTCCCTGAGCGAAGACAAAAATCTGTGAGCCAGAGGCTAAAAAACTGTGAGCTGGCTCACACTCGCTCAGCTTGGAGGGAACACTGATCCGGAGGGGGTCGTCCCGTGGGTGGGTGGGACACTGCATGTGCATATGTGTGTAGTGGTTTTGGCATTTACTTGAGATATTTTAATACACCGAAGGTGGGTTACTTGCATTAAAAGACAGCACAGAAAAACCAGTATATTAAATAAATGTAAAGAACCCAGGCCAAGCACAGATCATTCACCATCAACTAATTTAGCCCTCCAAAAGTAAAAAATAAATACACTGCTGCGAGAAAAGGCCCTGAGCATTACTGTGCTGACATAATCAGGAAGGCTATTATTCCTCATGGTAGAAACCACTGCAGAAAAAGCTCTGGCGCATGTGGAATATATTCTACTCTGTTTACATGATGTAACTGAAAGTAGATCTTTTATCTGCAGACCAGAGCTGCTACCCAGGAGTAAAGTGGTCTTGCAGATATGTGGATCCTGTGTCATTAATACTTTATTACATTGAACTGCGACCTGGCCCGTGAGGCGGAGGCGAAGGCGGCGGCGGCGGCGGCCTCGCCTCGTCCCCTGCCGCGGCCGCGCGTCGAGTCAGCGGCCCCCGCTTGGCCCCGGCCGCCTTCGGATCCGCCGCCGCCGCCCGTTGCCGCTGCAGCCCGTAGGAAAACTGAGGCGGGTCGTTCCATCCGCGCTCCGGGTTGCCTGCAGGGAGACAAGAGGGAGAAGAGCCCGTCGCCGTCGTCAGCCCGGCCCGCCGAGGGGAACCGCGGCCTCCGTCTCTCGCCCGGCCTCCCCTCAGTCGCTTACCCGGCTTGACGTAGAGCTCCGCCATGATGGCCGCCGCCGCCGCTCGCAGGCCTCGGCCCCGCGATGACGTGACGAGCGTGCCGCTGTCCTGAGGGACGCCACCGGGCCACTCGCTCCCCCGCGCCCCGGTGGCTTCCTGCAGGGGGCGCCCGCCGCCCGGCCCTGCTGCAGGACGGGCTTATTCGGAGGTAAGAGCCCCGCAAGGAGGGCCGGCGTGGGGCGAGGGGGGGGTTGTGTGTGGAAATAGCCCGGTGAAGATAGACCAAGGCGGGCAGCAGCCGTGTTGGGTCTGAAGCAGTACAACACAGGTCAAGAAGACCCTGATGCTGGGAAAGACAGAAGGTCAAAGAAGACGGGGGCGGCAAAGGATGAGATGGTCAGACAGTGTCACAGATGCAATGAACATGGAATTGAGCCAACTTCAGAGGATGGCGGAAGACAGGAGGGCCTGGCCGGATCTGGTCCATGGGGCCGCGAAGAGTCGGACTCGACTGTGCGACTGAACAACGACAACAAAACAGGTCAAAGTCTCCCTTGCTCGAAAGCCAACTCTAGGGTTGCGGCGCTCCTCTCCGTTTCCAAGCCGAAGAGCCAGCGCTGTCCGAAGACGTTTCCGTGGTCATGTGGCCGGCATGACTAGACACCAAGGCGCACGGAACGCTGTTCCCTTCCCACCGAAGTGGTCCCTATTTATCTACTTGCAATGTCTCGCTTTCCAACTGCTAGGTTGGCAGGAGCTGGAACTAGAGACGGGAGCTCACTCCGTCACGCGGCACACTCAGGTCTTGAACTGCTGAGCTATTTCCCAACATCAGGGTCTTCTCCAGGGAGTGCTCCCTTCTCATTGGGTGGCCAAAGTATTTGAGCTTCAGTTTCAGTATCTGGCCTTCCAGGGAACAGTCAGGGTTGATTTCTTTTAGGATCGACTGATTTGATCTTTTTGCAGTCCAAGGGACTCTCAAGAGTCTTCTCCAGCACCATAGTTCAAAAGAATCTATTCTTCAGCGCTCGGCCTTCCTTATAGCCCAACTCTTGCAGCCATACATGACTACTGGGAATACCATCGCTTTGACCATGCGGACTTTTGTTGGTAGGGTGATGTCTCTACTTTTTATCATGCCGTTTAGGTTCGCCATCGCTTTCCTCCCAAGGAGCAGGCGTCTTTTAATTTCATGGCTGCTGTCACAGTCTGCGGTGATCTGGGATCCCAGGAAGGTGAAGTCTGTCACTACTTCGACGACTTCCCCTTCTATTTGCCAAGGAGTGACAGACTTCCAAATAACTCTCTCCAAGAACATAAGAGCTCAGAAAATTTCCTCTCGCTCACAACCACAGTTAAGCTTGCTGTGTCTTATTAACTCTCCTTCCGTTCATTAGACGTGCTGGGCTGAATCTGGCCGGTTGTCTACGCACTCCAGCGGCCTGCCATGTGCACTGGCCAACCAGTTACCCTGGAGGACCAACAATAACCCAAGGCCTCGATTTGCTTCCTCACCATGGTGTTTAGACACTTCTTGTCTCTGGACATGGCGTTTCAGTGACACTACCCCTATTTGCCCTGACCTGGATAGCGTGGGCTAGCCCGATCTCATCAGAGCTCAGAAGCTAAGCAGGGTCGGCCCTGGTTAGTACTTGGATGGGAGACCACCAAGGAAGTTCAGTGTTGTGGCACAGAGGCAGGCAGTGGCAAACCACCTCTGTACGCATCTTGCCCTGATAACCCTACGAGGTCGCGATAAGTTGGCTGCAACTTGTCAAAACTTTCCACCCCCCACCAATGTTCCCTCTAAGCTGTGGAGTCTTGTGAGCAGAAATTCTACTTTGTGAGCTGCTGGCATTAAAGTTGTGAGCGAGTGAGCGATTTGGCTCCTGCATAAATTAGTCTGCTCTGGAGCCCTCCTTTCCTCAGCGAAGACAAAAATGTGTGAGCCGGAGGCTAAAGAACTGTGAGCTAGCTCACACTAACTCAGCTTAGAGGGAACACTGCCCCCCACCCCCCCACTTGGTCCAGTCAGGCAGTTCCTGGGGGCTAGATTCACTTGAGACTCTTCTGCCAGGCTCGACAAATCCACAGCACCCTCAGACTTCATTGTAGCGCCTAGTTTTCTTCGACGTTTATTGTAAGTGTCTCTCAGTGATTCTCAGCAGAAGTACAAAGCTTATTTCGAACAAATTTTGAGACCAGTGGCATCTTTAAGACCAACGAAGTTTTATTCAGAGTGTAAGCTTCTGTGTGCAAAGCACACTTCTTCAGACAAATGGAACAAAATCTTCAGACAAATGGAACAAAAGACCAACAAAGCTTTATTCCAAGTGTAAGCTTTTGTGTGCAAAGCACACTTCTTCAGACAAATGGAACAAAAAAGAGGGTGGGGGGCAGCTGTTAGGAGTGGCCATGCCACCCTCTTGTTCCCTGTAAATAACCCTTGAGGAGATTTTGTTCCATTTGTCTGAAGAAGAGTGCTTTGCACACAAAAGCTTACACTTGGAATAAAACTGTGGGTCTTAAAGGTGCCGCTGGACTCCAAATTGTTCTGCTGCTTCAGACCAACACAGCTACCGACCTGAAAGCTTATTTAAGTGAGGGATAAAGGTTAGCATCTTGTTGTGATGACAACCACAGCTACACTGCAACATTTTGTTGTAGCTATTTAAAAAGACCCAAAAAACCCCCACCCATGAAGAGTCTAGGATTAGCTTTTGTGGTAACCAGAATGAGCAAGTAGGGTCATTAAAATATAAACCCATGCAGGCTGAACAATAAATCCATCTCCTAAATTTTCGAGGTGGCTCCCGAAGCTGAAGGAAATTTGTCAGTGCCTTCTTGTCAGGACCCACAGCTAAACAACGAAGTACACGCTTTCAGGAAGGTTTTACTTTTATTGAAAAGCCATAGATGCGATAACAGGAACACTGTTAGGAATGGCGGGCTACCTGTGCGCATAATAGGATATAAGGCATTCATATGCGCCCCCCCCCAAGCAATAACCAATTAGGTGGGCTCCTGCACACGGGAGACTGCTAGACTCTCTAACAGTAGCGAAGCTGGGAACAAAGAAACTCCCACGGACGATAGACACCACAATCTCCTCCAGTACAACATCAAAGATAAGCGTTGCAGCTCTGAAGCAATTAAGCACATGGGAGGGAATGCAAAGCAATTAGAAAACATCTTCACACTCATGGCAGCGTAGCTGACACTCCTCTTCTGTGGTCTTGCTGTCAGATTCCCCCTTGTGAGGATTTTCTCCCCACCCTAGACAGTTACACCCTTCAAAGGCCATAGACTTAAAAGGATGTAACACCTTAGAGCTGCACTGCATTTATAGAACTGTGCTCCCAAAGAAACAAAGCTTGTATACGTAGCTGTGTTGGAGCAGTTCATGCTGCATGCATGGCTTTATAATCACATACGAATGTGCAGTTCTGCACTTTCGATTACCCAAAAAAAAATTCCTGATACTTACAATGGAAGGTTTTGCCTCCACTTGAAGGACTGCCCAAACGCACCCTTGCATGGGAGCATCTTTATTTAGGTGGCATACATCCCCTCCACCTTTTATCCTGTCGACAATTCTGTGAAATAGTTTAAACCAGGGGTCCCCAACCTTTTTGAGACAGCAGGCACTTTTGGAATTCTGACGCGGCCTGATGGGCACAGCCACAGAATGGATACCACAGGGACCACTTTGGGGACTCCTGGTTTAAACTAATAGCTCTGTCATGGTAAAGGTAAAGGTCTCCCTTGCTCGAAAGCCAGTCGAATCCGACTCTAGGGTTGCGGTGCTCATCTCCGTTTCAAAGCCGAAGAGCCAGCGCTGTCCGAAGACGTTTCCGTGGTCATGTGGCCGGCATGACTAAACGCCGAGGCGCACGGAATGCTGTTACCTTCCCACCGAAGTGGTCCCTATTTATCTACTTGCAATTTTATTTATTTATTTTTTATTTATTTATTAGATTTATATCCCGCCCTCCCCCGTAGGGCTCAGGGCGGCTTATATAGTAAAAGATCTTACCATAGTAAAACATCAATTTAAATTACATTTAAAACAAGTTATACAGTTTAAAAACAATAAATACAATACATTAAAGTGCTCAACAATCTCAGCGCCGGAGCCTCGGGAGATGTCAACCGCATCCACTTCCAACACCCTGGTAGGCATTCCATGTCCTTAATATTGGGTGTCAATTCCGGTGTTTCTTCATTACATCCCAGGGCCCGTCCCCCCCCCCAATGATGGTAATAGCAGGGGGGTGGCCCCTAATCGAAAGCCTGGTGGAAGAGCTCCGTCTTGCAGGCCCTGTGGAACTGTACCAGATCCCGCAGGGCCCTGATCTCCTCCGGGAGCTCGTTCCACCAGGTGGGGGCCGCCACCGATAAAGCCCTAGCCCTCGTGACGGCCATTTCTTGCTTTCGAACTGCTAGGTTGGCAGGAGCTGGAACCAGAGATGGGAGCTCACTCCGTCATGCGGCACCCGGGTCTCGAACTGCTGAACTACCGACCTTCCACAGCCTGCAGTTCAGCGTCTTAACCACTTGAGCCACCGCAGCTCTGTCATGGTACCTCTCTTTTATTTTGTGTGGTTAGGTATGATGTGGTTTTAAATTTCTTGCTGTTTCTTTCACTCAATGTAGGCAATGCTGCCACCAGGAATTTAATTCCAGTCTCTAACTAACCTTTCCCACGGTATTGTGCCCAAGCTCTAAGGTTCCTTCATTGAATATGGGGTTCTGAGGATAAGACTCTGGGCTAACAATAAACAAAATAAAACTTTACTGGTAAAAGGAAACGTATTGGTTACAAGATATTTTGTCAAGTTGCTCCATAAAATCCTTCCCCCTTTTACTCAGGTCTCCGTCAGCTTTTCCCCTCACACTCTTAAAATACTCTGACTATATTAGATTCTTCCCAATATGCCCCCTCAAGTATATTTTCTTCCTCCTTTAGAATCTTAATGTCTTCCACAGCACTTCTATAGGATTCTCATGAGAAGACGGCTTCTCAGACTCTGTGTAGATTGACCACAACTGACAGCTGCTGACTTCAGACTTCAAACTCTCTCCACACGCACGCACGCACGCATGCACGCACACCCTTCCTGGCTCCGCCCACACACTCTCAGTCATCCACCAATCATCTCACTCACTCATCTCCCTCTTTCACCCCCTTGTACTTCTGACATTTACCAACCATTTTAAAGAAACACACACATAAAACTTGAAATCATTACAAGCTCCAATCCCCTTCACAGCTGAGAAGGACTCACATCTCCTCAATCCAAGACTAGCAGAATATGTACTACTTCATTTTTGTCACTGGAACTTAGGTAAAGGTTCCCTTGCTCGAAAGCCAGTTGAGTCCGACTCTAGGGTTGCGGTGCTCATCTCCGTTTCAAAGCCGAAGAGCCAGCACTGTCCAAAGACGTTCCCGTGGTCATGTGGCTGGCATGACTAAACACCAAGGCGCACGGAATGCTGTTCCCTTCCCCCCGACGGGGTACCTATTTATCTACTTGCAATGTCTTGCTTTCGAACTGCTAGGTTGGCAGGAGCTGGAACTAGAGACGGGAGCTCACTCCGTCATGCGGCACCCCTGGGTCTCGAACTGCTGAACTACCGATCTTCCACAGCCTGCAGTTCAGCGTCTTAACCACTTGAGCCACCACAGCTCCTGGAACTTACTTCCAAGTAAATCTCCCTTAAGATTGGCCTGCAGTTCTTAGCCAGTCACAAAGGGTATCATTTATGTTGCGGGGCATTTCAGTTCCACACTCTTACTTTAGTCTTTTGGGTTTATCTTTTGATGGCTTTGTATGGCTCTTTAGCTTGGAGAAACGACGACTGAGGGGTGACATGATCGAGGTTTATAAGATTATGCATGGGAAAGAGCAGGTAGAGAAAGAGGTACTGTTCTCCCTTTCTCACAATAGAAGAACTCATGGGCACTCCATGAAATTGCTGAGCGGTCGGGTTAGAACGGATAAAAGAAAGTACTTCTTCACCCAAAGAGTGATTAACACTTGGAATTCACTGCCACAGGAAGTGGTGGTGGCTACAAGCATGGACAGCTTCAAGAGGGAATTAGATAAGCATATGGAGCAGAGGTCCATCAGTGGCTATTAGCCATAAGGTATAGATAGGGACTCTGGGGCAAGTGATGCTCTGTCATCTTGGTGCTGGGGGGGGGGGTCAACAGTGGGAGGGCTTCTAATGTCCTGGCCCCACTGGTGGACCTCCTGATGGCACTGGTATTTCTGGCCACTGTGTGACACAGAGTGTTGGACTGGATGGGCCTTTGGCCTGATCCAACATTGGCATCTCTTATGTTTTTATGTTCCATGAAGCTGCCTTAATCAGACCCTCAGTCCATCAAGGTCAATATTGTCTATTCAGACTGGCAACAGTTCTCCAGAGTCTCTGGCAGAGGTCTTTCACACCACTCGCTACCCAGTCCTTTACACTGGAGATGCCAGGGATTGAACCTGAAACCTTCTGCATGTGAAGCAAGGGCTCTTCCGCCGAGCCACAGGCCCTCCCCTATTGTACACTAAGGACAAGTCAATTCATGCAGTGGCCTCCTCACCAGCTCAACCCAACATCAGTAAAAAAAAAAAAAAAATCTGGAAACAGGAACGAAACATAACACAAGACTACCTTCTTCCACAGTAGTAGTTTATTTGCACAAATGATCAGATATAAAGTATCACTGAGGTAGACTTGAGTCTATTGTAACCAGGGATTACATTATAAACAAAAAGGAGATGAGTAATATCCAGGCCCAGAATGGAAAAGAAGGAAACTTGTGTTTTGGAAACCTACATCCTCCTTCCACCAGCCTCAACCACCTGCTTCTAGACACAGATAAAATAATGCCAAGGAGTATCGTTTTCACAGAAGTCGGCAAAACGGGCTCTCATCTTTATACGTGTTTTCTTAAACATCTGCTGAAAGCTCTGCGTTTTTCTATTCACTACTCTCACGTATAAGTCACTCTTGCGCACTTGTTTGTTGGAACTGATCACCGCCGTGGGACCATACAGTAGTAATCTTATTGAATGGGTTTGTTCCCTATCCGAGCACCAGGCTAGCATGCTGGTGTTATAAGGACAGTCATGTGTGCTGGCGCCATACGCACATACTGCTTCCTTACGGACGTTTTGCTAGTGAGCACTTAGCACTGTCTGCGTGCACCATTTGGTAACTCTACGCCCGGGGATGGCAACCTTTTTGGCCTGAGCACCCCCCAAAAAAAAAAATGCACTGTCTACCTGTGAAGATGATGAGGCACCAGCAAGCAAAGGGAATGCTGGAAGGTTTCGAAGTCATACTTAGCCAGGCATGCTGGAAGCAAGCTGAGCCCCAGCAGTTCTCACAGCGGCTCAGGCTCACCTCTGACCTGGCCGGCAGCTGCCCATAAAGCCATAGCCATAAGTCATGCCCATCTCCTTCTCCCACACCACCGGCCCCAACAGTACTGTCAGCACCTCGGGCGGAGCGTCATCCCCGCATGCACAGCAGAACAGTCCGACAGGCCACCTCCTACCCTAGTCCGGGCTCTGTCATGGCTACCGAAGGTCTGTGTTTCTCGGTAGCAGGGAGGTGGTCACTGCAGCACTGTTTGTTAGTGACAGACGTCCCAAAGTGGAAAAGATTGGCACAGATTCTGCCAGAGAAGCAGGGCCGCAGACCTCTGCTGTTCTCAGCTACGCTGGGAGGGACCAGTAATGTGGTGAAATAGACGGGGCGGTGTCTGTTTCAGTGCGTGCATTCATCGAGAGTAGATTGTTTGCCGCTTGTCAGAGGGAATGCTGCCCTGTATCCGTGTCTGACAAACCAGGAGGCCTGCAAGCATATCTCGGCTGCCTCAAACTCTCTATGACGTCTGCTCCATGAACTGCTTGGAGTCGCCTCCTTCTACTGGGGGCCGCATTCAGGTTTCATATATCAGGCATTCATGCTACAACCGGGAAAGGAAAGAGGGGAGGTGCCCACAGCTTTTACTGCATAAAATCAAGAAGCTGGCATGCCTGCTGTGCCCTGCCCCACAGAACCCCCTTGGGCAGCAGGAGCAAACTCTAAAGCCTGTGTGTGATGCGTTGGGTACTCCACAGGCCAAGAGAGAACATTCTCACAACCTTCACATGCTGCATCGTTACTACTCCCCAAAGCAACCTTGACACCTCCCGATAGCCTCTAGATAGCAAAGGACTCGGAAACGATGCACAGGAAATCCTGAATTAACCAGGACCCTCTCTCAGGGGATATGGTCTGGCTGCTTGGATCAGCCGGGTCTTTTAGCTTTAGTGAAAGAACCAATAGAGAGGATTATGCTAATTACATTCAGAGCCTGGGCATCAGCAAGAAGGCTGCTGTTCTTTGCCATCGGGGGGCCTGCTGTCTCCTCCACGCCACGTCTTTCATCTTAAGGGGTGTGCAGCATGAACGGCTTCTGGCGGAATGCTTCAAAGAAAGAGAAGACCCCCCTCTTGTGGGTAGTGGTGGCGTTGCCGTTTTTCTGTAGGGGGTGCCCCACGGCAGGAAATGGGCACCCTGGTGAGTCTACTGACACTGTTCTTTTCATCTTCAGGATGGAACGGGAACCACTTTTCGGTCTCATCCGCGACGTGGAGGCGACTAAGCATTTCTGATACTGGACCTTCCAAAGAAACAAGTTGGTAGAGCGTGATGAATCTGCAGTAGTAGAACTATACATTTGGACATTTAACTTTAAAAAAAAAAAAACCCAACCCCGAACGTGCTCCATTCTTTAATATCGTTAATATCACAATGACAAAAAATGTATTAATGTTCACTTTGTTATCTGACGGGGGCTGGGAGAGTGGGGTCAGCAAGTTATATGAAAGCAGTACAGGCCTTGTCTAACCAGCAGAGGTATAATGATCGCCAGGGCTCTTTTTGTAGAAAAAGTCCAACAGAAACTCATTAGCATAATCGACCACACCCAACAGCAGAAACTCATAAGCATATTAGGCCACACCCCTGACAACACAGCTCATTAGTCTATTAGGCCGTACCCCCATGTTACCAGAAGTGTGGTCATCCAGCCACACCCACCTTTTGCTTCTTATTCTGTTTACCCTGTTTGTTGACAAAACCCAGGGCTGTTCTTGTAGCAGGAACTCCTTTGCATGTTAGGCCACACACCCCTAATGTAGCCAATCCGAATGAGTTTCTGCTGTTGGGTGTGGCCTGTTATGCTAATGAGTTCCTGCTGGGCGTGGCCAACTTGGGAGCCAGCCGGAACTCCGTTCCTGCCCAAAAAGAGCCCTCATGATCGCACAGCTGAAAAGAATTATGCTTAGAGGCTTCAGTGCATGGCATTTCTGCCCATGATTGCACTGTCTCGGTGGCTTCATTGGGCCTTTTGGATTCCATATAGGGGATGTTGTCAACCCTGGATTTGGAAATATCTAGAGATTTGAGGGTGGAGCCTGGGAGAGTGGGGTTTAGGGAGGGGAGGGACGTCAGTAGGGTATAATCCCATGCAGTCCACCTTCTAAAGGAGAGGTGGAGTAAGTGTTTTGAATGAATAAATAACGAACACATTATTTATGTAGTCCCGAGGTCAGTTGTAATTCCAGATCTCCAACCCCCACCTGGAGGTTGGCAACACTCTATGAGTATGAGAGGCAGTGGCTCCATTTTCCTTTTCCCGTGCAATTACTTGTTCTGCCTGCTTTTAAGATTGCCTGCTTCTTGGGCTGTGTAACGGTACCTGCTTCTCTGAGTTACCAAGTGCACGTCTCTGTGTCCATTCGGCTGTGCTGCTTTCGCCTTCTGATTCGAAATGTCTGCTCTGCCTTTCTGTCTGTCAAGGAAGGGCCATGGCTTTTCAGTAGTGAGACTACCTGATTTGCATGCAGAGTTCAATCCTTGCCCTCTTCAGTTAAAAGGATCGGGTAGCAGGTGATGTACAAGCAGGCCCGTAGCCAGGATTTTTTTTTATTAGGGGGGGCATTTAATTTTTTTACAGTTTACAATTACAGTTAAATTAATCTGAAAGCCCGTCCTTAAAGGGAGAGGCTCCGAGCCTGTTTCTAGCCCTTCCTTTCAAAGGACAGAGCAGAGAGCGCATCAGTTCCTAAGGAAAAAAACAGCCCATAGGACATTTAATTGCCTTCAAAAGGCATTTAAATGCCTTCCGAGGGCAATTAAAAGTTCTCTGAGCTGTCTTTTCCCACTTCCCCTGATGCTCCCCCCCCCATTCCACAGTGGGAGGGAGGCTCTCACCCTGGCCGCTGCCAGCAGCAGGCAGTGGGGGGTCTCTCCTCGAAAATAAGGTTTCTCGCATGGCTATGTGTGGGGCAGGTCCCCAAAATGCCCCACTGTAACAACGGGTAGGCTTCCCAAGTCCCCCCGGGGGACGGGAAAACCCCCGCCCCAGAGGCCCGTTCCCCGCCGCCGGCGGATCAGGTCCCGGGGGGGATTCCACCCCGGCGTGCGCGTCACCAGGAAGTGACGTTATGACGCCGGGCACGCTGGGGGCGGGGCCACAGTCATCCGAGGGAAAACTCTATGGGTTTTCCCTCGGACAGTTGTGGCCCCGCCCCCAGCGTGCCCCGCATCATCACGTCACTTCCTGGTGACGTGCGTGCGACGCACGCATACTCCAGCCGCGGACCGGGAGTCCCCCAGTAAGTGAATTTTTTGACTTGGCAACCCTAGCAACGGGCCTGTGTGCAAGGCTTTGACCTGAGACTCTGGAAAGCCACCACCGGTCAGAGTAGACAACAGTAACCTTGATAGCCCAAGAATGCCATACTAAGAGGAGTTACACCCTTGGTATAGCTCTCCTTAGAAGGGTACTGTCAAGACCTGGCTTTGGATAAGGCAGCTTCTGTGGTTGCCAAATGCCTCACTATGCAAGTGAGAATTTTAATTGCACTTTTCCCCATCTGCTGAGATTTGGCAGGGAGGATAATTTGGATGAGGGGTAAAATCTCTGAGAATTTCATGTCCGTTGATGTGTCGGGGGGGGGTGGTAGTTAGAGCTAGGAATATGTGCTGCTTTTAAACTGCCTGTGGAAGGGGAATCCATTCTCCTATCTCCCTGCAACGTGGTAGGTAGGATCCCATGAGGTAGGGATTCAGTGCCCGAAGATTACATCCAGAAAACGAGTTCTCTATTTAAAACAAGGGAGTGAACAGAGTAACGAAAACATATAAAGAAAATGATTTTTAAAAAATTAACCAACAACTAGAGTGAAATGTTTGCACACACTCTTAATATACAGAGCATGGCCCTAGCCAGAGCATGAACATGCCTAATGTTTTTGTCTTGCTGTTTCTTTGCCGGCACAAACCTGCCTTTCTGCCTGTGAGGTAGGCCTGTCAAGGTTGAGGCAGGCTATTCTGTCATATGTGGGGGAAGAGGCTGCATCAGTGTCTACAACAGAATAAGTGAGAGCAGGCCTGTAGCTACTGCGGGGCCTGCGGGGCCCTGCCTCCCCGTGATTTTTATGGGCCCCACTCCCTGAGCCTCGGCTTTCCCTCCCCCCTGGGCCCCCTCCCCCTGATTGCCTGTCACACAGTTACAGCATTGCACTCACAAATATGAGCCGGCCTCTCCCTTGTTGAGCCCCATCTACGATGAGCTGAGTCTCTTCAGGACCCAGCAGCAACCGGTGGTTGACCGAGTCACACACACATTGGTCGGATTGCAGCCGCTGCAGCAGTTCGCTCCCCCTATTGGATTTTCTGTGCCAGGCTTCAGAAGTGATCGCCGGCTCAGGGAAGGAGGGAGGACGCTTGATCCTCGTTCTCCTTTTCAACGTTCCTAGACCTCTGAGGAACGTTAGTGTGTGGCGCTGTTAACAGTCTATTAACATTGGGATCCTGGCTCGCCTCAGAGGAAGGGTCTAGTGGGGGCTGGGTGGGAGCGCGCCAAGCAGACCCCCCCCCTGCCCTGGAGCCTTTGATTTAATTAGCTGGTGCCCCCCCAAGGCCCCCTCTCCTCCCCAAATCCCTAGCTACGGGGCTGAGTGAGAGTCTTTGCTGATCCATGGTCCCAGCTTTTAAGCCCCTGGAAACTGTGGAGGGGTATGCGCCGTAATCTGTGGGGACTGGGACTGGTTCAGGATCACAGCTACAAGACCGGACTCCAAGACCTCCCAGGAGAACTATCTATGTCAGGCAACCTGGAGATGTGGGATAAAAGCCTTCCTGCTCTGAAATCCTGCTCAGAAGCGACCTTCTGAGGTATCGTGGCATTTACCGTGCACGCCGCCTGGACCGCTTCTGAGATCGTGCCTGCATCTGGCTCACACCAAAAGGCCGTGCACTGGAAACGCTGCCGTCCCATGTCCGTGATGAGTGCGAAGGTGTGGGCGTCTTTCCCAATCCCGATGAAAGTCACATAGCGAACCTGGCATTCCCAAAGGCAGGCATCATCTTCATCCTCAACCTCAAAAGAACACACACACGCACACAAATCCAGTGAAGTGAGATGAAAATATCCAGAGCACCTTGTCACATTTCACTTCAGTCCTCTTTTTAAGTAATCGGTCTTGGTAACATGCATCTCAAATTGAATCTGAGTATCATGTGGAAACCTTAACCATTCTGATAGCCCTTGACAACTTTGACTGGAGTTCAGATCAGTCGTCTTACACTGTCAGGATGAAACATTCAAGGCCAGGGGTCCCCATGGGCACTATGATTACCGCCAACACCTTTCCTGGCACCCACCAAGTGTTTTGAGAAAGTGGGGCTTTTGGTGAGGCCAGGTGGGGCTTTTGCTCAGCAGGGCTTCTGATCAGACACTGGAGTTCTGATTGGCTGCGCAGATTTTTTTTTTAATGTTGCTTCAGCAGCAGCTGCCACCACAGCCAAAGGGTTTTCACTGTGTGACTGAAGGTAAGCTGCGGCAGCCATTTTGTGGCTGACCCCGCCTCCTGCAGCTGCCATTTCACGACTGCCTCCATTACGCTGTGTCAGAATTCCAGAGGCACCTGCAGGCTCAAAAAGGCTAGGGACCCGTGGTCAAGGAGATAACAAGAGAAATGAACTGACACAGACCAAAACTTAGATGTGGAGATACCAAAACCAGCACAGGAAGATTTCACTCTCCTCAGAAGATTTAGGATCATCACTGATCATAATGGAAGTTATGTTCTTGAAATTCATTAGCAAATGTGATAGACCAAAAGCGAAGGAGAGAACTAAGTGGGTTTAAGTGCTTTTTATTGGATCGCCGCCATAGTGGTTTTCAAGACTCGAACAAGAGTTGTTATAGGTAGATCTCTCACTGCACTACTGAGGGTTTTTTGAATTTTGTAGCCCAAAGTTTTATGGTGGAAGGGATCAAAAGTCCGTGAGAAGCAGAAAATGTTTCCTTTTTAGCAAAACAATGAAGGGGGAAATCTCTTGGGCTGCTAAGATACAGTTTCATAATGCTGTGGCCCACCCAACACGCTTCAGGTTAAAATCCCTTCTGTGGGGATTCCCTAAGGGATCCATTTAGGCTTGCCAAGTCCTCCCGGGGGGGCGGGTAAACCCCCGCCCGAGAGGCCCGTTACCCGCCGCCGGCAGATTGGGCCCCAGGGGGAACCCCACCCCCAAAGCACGCGACATGCCCGGCGTCAGCACGTCACCTGGAAGTGACACAATCACGTCGGGCATGTTGGGGGCAGGGCCACAATAATCCGAGGGGAAACTATGGTTTCCGGGTGATGTAATTGCGGCGCACGCACGCTTCGTGCGCACACATGGACTCCCGGACCAGCGCTGGACTCCCCCGCTCTTCATAAGGTAAGGATTTGGCAACCCTAGATCCATTCCTAAATGTATTAATTTTGTTATCAAATAATGTTATGTTATGTTGTTTCATAGACTGATTCTGTACGCCTGAGAATGAGTTTTAATCCAAAAATGGGTTATGGCATTTTCTGAAAACACACGATTATTTTGGCACTTCTTGAGATCCTCCCCTATCTTACTTCCTTTATTAATTGATGCTTTCTGTCATCCCCCCCCCCGCCCCAATTACATTACTGAGCAGTTGAGTAAAATGCTGCCTTCTCCCATTTCTGTCCAGATCTGTAAACAGAAGGGCTAGAAATGTTTTTAAACAGGAGCTGAGAATTCTAAGCAGGGCCTGGAATATCTCTGACCAAGATGCCCTCTTTACCTTTTGCTTTCTGTGTGGGCAGATGGGTATGAAGCCTGAACTCTCCCAAGAAGCTAAAATTACTCAACTGAAGCTATCGTACTTTGGTCACATTATGAAAAGATAAAAGTCACTGGAAAAAGACAATAATCCTAGGAAAACTAGAAGGCAGCAGGAAAAGAGGAACACCCAACATGAGACAGACTGACTCAAGCAAGCAAGCCACGACCCTCACAATCAAGCAAGCCACAACACCACCCTCACAAACAAAAAAGCCACAACTCTCCCAGGACATTTCTTTTCTTTTTTTAAGCCCCCGGAGGGGATTTTCTATTGCATTTTTTGGTAACACTACAAACTACAACAGAAAATGGGAGGGGGAACTACATTTATAGGATAAAGAAAGATACCCACTACTGACTAAAAACCCAAGAGAGGAGATCATCCCACCAGTTTAACCATACATTTAGTCTTAATCCCGTTCATTTTACTATCAACTGAGTCAAGGTTAACATTATCTTTTCCAAATCTTAAGTTTAACCAGGGGTCATTTCCTGCGGGAGCGCACAGGAGCAGAGCTTCGGAAGTAAGGAGCCCAGGGGGTGGGCACATGCAACAAGCCCCGCCCCCTGCTCCCAGCAGCCCTCAATCAGGCCATGAGGAGCAAGAAGCAGCCAGGTAAGTTGCAGAGCCCCCCCCCATCCCACCTTCAGGTACAAGCTCTCCTTCCTCTGTGAGGGCCAGAGGTCATTTCAGGGGGGATCGCGGAGGATCGCAGTTCCCCCGAGTGAGGTACGGGGCAGGGCACATGATGAATCCCGGCCCCCTGCTTCCGGCTGCCCCGCTTCCGGCCCTCATTCAGCCAGGAGGAGGCAGGAGAAGAGGGAGGGTAAGTTGCTTCCTCCCTGCCTCTCCCCACCCCTGCCTGCCTGGGGCCAGGGAGGGCCTTCGCGGGGCTTCCTTGCACTCCCTCCGGCCTTGCAGGTCCACCGCTGGGCCCCTCATGGGGCTCGGCAGTGGAGCTGCAAGGCCGCCAGCGGCGGCCAGGACCATTGGGGGCGGGGTGTGTGGCCTTATGACACACTTCTGGTGATGTCAGGGGGTGTGGTATATGCTAATGAGTTATGCTAATGAGTTCCCCTACCTCTTTTTCTACGAAATGACCCCTGAGTTTAACTGTCATACATTAACACCCCAAAGCATCTCACTTCAACATTTTTAAAAGGCACAATTCAGAGTCCTTCAGCCTTTACTTCTCCTTGCCTAGTCTCTTCTGAAGCTTATAAGGACTTTTAGGGGTTGCCGCCCCTTTCTCTGATAGAGAGTCCTCCCCGGAGGATTCCAAGTCCAGCTCGCCATTGGACTTACTGTCCTCCCCTTTTTCTCCTTCCTTCCCTGGCCCTCCCATCTGGACTCTTAAAAATTCCCGTGCTTTCTGGACAGAGTCAGTCTTTTCTTTTTTATCCTTGATTTTGAAGGTTACGCCTTCTGGAGTTAACCATCTATATCCAATTACATTTGTCTGTAGAAAAAGAATTAATTCTTTATATTTCTTTCTCCTTTGTCTTATTTCAAATGGAATGTCTTTTAACGTTCTGATGGTATTCTCCCCCACTTTCAGGGGTGCTCCAGGACATTTCAAAGGACATTGATTCATAAAGTCACCATGAGTCGGAGGTGACTTGATGGCTCTTTACACGTGCAGATGGGTATTATTCAGGGCTATTTTTGGGCAGGAACGCACAGGAACGGAGTTCCGGCTGGCTCCCAAGTTGGCCATGCCCAGCAGGAACTCATTAGCATAATAGGCCACACCCAAGAGCAGGAACAAATTAGGATTGGCTACATTAGGGGTGTGTGGCCTAACATGCAAAGGAGCTCCTGCTCCAAAAAAAGGCCCTGGGTTTTGACCACAAACAAGGTAAACAGAATAACAAGCAAAAGGTGGGTGTGGCTGGATAACCACACTTCTGGTAACATGGGGGTGCGGCCTAATGTGCTAATGAGCTGTGCTGTCAGGGATGTGGCCAATATCCTAATGAGTTTCTGCTGTTGGCTGTGGCCTATTATGCTAATGAGTTCCTGCTGGGCTTTTTCTACAAAAAGAGCCCTGGTTATTTTCAAAATTATGTCCCACTTCTCCAGTTACATACTGAGAAAGTGACGTGCAAAAGCTCACTGAGAGAGACCAGTAAAGTAGTCAGTCTCCAGTCGGTGCAGGCATAATTTCCAAATGGAGACAGGACAGATCTCCCTGGCCTCAGTTCACTGCCCTTGCCACTACTACAATTAATAACTGGCAGCACAACTATTGTATAAATCTCTGGTCTTGCTTCAGAGTAGTTACCTTTAAAGATTAGGTGGTGCAGACACCTTGCATGATTTTTATGAATGATTCATATTTGATCCCAAAAAGGGGAAAAAATTATAGACAGAATTTAGCTGCATTTTCTGTGACTGGAGGATTATGTGCCAAATAAAATTCCATGCCATTCTCCACTTCAAAAGCACTCGGGAATTTAAAAAGGCAGTGTTGTTGTGTCTGCCACCCCAATCTGAAAATCATGTTGAGGAGCTAATAAAAGGTCGATCCCCACCAGTCCGGGTTTCGCCCGGGTCATGGGGTGGAGACGGTACTGGTCGCACTGACTGACGATCTCCGGAGGCATCTGGATCGAGGTGGAGTGGCGGCACTGGTGCTGTTAGATCTGTCGGCCGCTTTTGATACGGTCGACCATCAGTTGCTGGCCCACCGCCTCGCCGACGCGGGGATTCAGGGGCTTGCCCTTCAATGGCTGGTCTCTTTTCTCCAAGGTCGGGGACAAAGGGTGGCGATAGGGGATCAGCGGTCCCAGAGGTGGGCCCTGGAATGTGGTGTTCCTCAGGGGGCAGTGCTATCCCCGATGCTGTTTAACATCTATATGCGCCCCCTTGCCCAGATTGCCCGGAGTTGTGAGCTGGGCTGTCACCAATATGCTGATGACACCCAGCTGTATCTGATGTTGGGCGGCCAGTCAGACTCCACCCCAGATGACTTGCATAGGGCGTTACATGCTGTGGCTGGGTGGCTCAGGCTGAGTCGGCTGAAATTAAACCCGGCAAAGACGGAGGTCCTGGGGCTGAGTCGGATCGGTTCGGGGCTGGGGCTCCCTCTCCCGGCCTTCGATGGGACACCTTTGGTGCCAGCGTCGGAGGTTAGGAGTTTGGGGGTGCTCCTGGACTCCTCACTAACGATGGAGTCCCAGGTAGCAGCCACTGCCAAGTCGGCATTTTACCATCTTCGGCTGGCAAGGCAGTTGGTTCCCTTCCTCGACCGGACTGACTTGGCTACGGTGATCCACGCGACGGTCACCTCAAGGCTAGACTACTGTAACGCTCTCTACATGGGGCTGCCTTTGTCGCAAATTCGGAAGCTGCAACTAGTGCAGAATGCTGCAGCCAGGCTGTTGATGGATCTTCCTAGACGAGATCACATCCAGCCTGTGCTGAAAGCGCTGCACTGGTTGCCAATAGCGTACCGGGTTCACTTCAAAGTGCTGGTTATCACCTTTAAAGCCCTATATGGCCAGGGACCAGCCTACCTAAGGGACCGCCTTACCCCACATGTTCCCCCAAGGGCACTACGGTCGGGGAGCCGGAGCCTATTGGAGGTACCGGGCCCCCGGTCCATCAAGTTGACTATGACCAAGAACAGGGCGTTTTCGGTGGCGGCTCCTATCTGGTGGAATGAGCTCCCAGAGGAGATCAGGGCTCTGCGGGACCTAGCACAGTTCCGCAGGGCCTGCAAGACGGAGCTCTTCCGCCAGGCTTTTGAATAGGAGCCGCCGCCACCACTAGACCACCAATGCATCAGTATACCATCGACGCCCGGGAGGACATCTGGATATGGGCAAGACTGGGACGCTTAGAGGACCGCCATCTTGGTTTTAGCTAGATCTGTTTTAGATAGGTTATACACTATGATGTAATTTTAATATTTTGTATTTTTTCTACTGTTTTACTGTTTTATTAATTATATGTTGTTAGCCGCCCTGAGCCTCCGGGGAGGGCGGGGTATAAATACAAATAATAAATAAATAAATAAATAAATAAATAAATAAACTGTTAGCACTGGCGAGGTGGCTGGTTTTCCAAATCTGTATTTAAGAAATTAAGTCCAGTGGACATGATCCAGCCAAAGCAAAGCAGTTTTACCTACTGATGCAAGTGATTAACTTCTGGATATCCAGAAGTACTGCCCAATGAAGCACAAGACTGGGTGCACAATCCAGCCCAAATCATGTACGTGCTTCACATTCTCCCACTGAAATCGAGGCCTTGCATGTATCCTACCAGAACCATCTACCTGCCTATCATGTTTCTGCTCCACTTACAACATGGCTGTCTGTAATTTACCAGATAAAAAGGAGGCAGCCCTAATCATTGTGCATCTTGGCAGCATGTTTAGACCCAGTACTTTCAGAGCATGACAAAGGGTGTGTGGTCATATTCACTAGCCTTTAGTGCCTGATGAGTTGAGGAGCTGTATCTGAACTTTGAGCATACACATAGTTCAGAAATGGGTTTGAGCGAGGGAGCCCGGCTACAGTCATTGGGTTTACAGTCCACCTATAGATCTAAACAGCATGATAAAAAGTAGAGACATCACCCTGCCAACAAAAGTCCGCATGGTCAAAGCAATGGTATTCCCAGTGGTCATGTATGGCTGCGAGAGTTGGACTATAAGGAAGGCCGAGCACCGAAGAATAGATTCTTTTGAACTATGGTGCTGGAGAAGACTCTTGAGAGTCCCTTGGACTGCAAGAAGAACAAATCAGTCAATCCTAACAGAAATCAACCCTGACTGTTCCCTGGAAGGCCAGATAATGAAACTGAAGCTCAAATACTTTGGCCACCCAATGATAAGGGAGCACTCACTGGAGAAGACCTTGATGCTGGGAAAGATTGAAGGTCAAAGAAGACGGGGACGGCAAAGGATGAGATGGTTAGACAGTGTCATAGATGCAACAAACATGAAATTGAGCAAACTTCAGAGGATGGCGGGAGACAGGAGGGCCTGGCGGGATCTGGTCCATGGGGTCGCGAAGAGTCAGACTCGACTGTGCGACTGAACAACAAAAATAGATCTAAAATGATGGTCAGACAGAAGAGCTAAGCCATGGCATGCTGGACCAGACGGGTGTGCTCCATCTTTTGGACAGAGGGGAAACAGCTGACATGGCCATCGCTACCAGGAACCTTACCTCAGTCTGCTCTGCCTGCATCACCGAATCTGAAACACTGACGACAGATGGAATCCACTGTTCACGGCCACGGCTGCCCATCAAGTCTTCAATGGCATTGTTCAGCACATCCATCCCTTAGGAGAGCATTCAAAAAAGAAGCATGTAAGCCAGAGCTCTTCAGCCAGAGCTTTTCACCAGCCCCCAAGCTCTGGAGTCCAGGGTGGGATCCTGTTGGAGTAAGCACTTTCAGATGCTGACGAGCCAGCACAAAGATCCTGTCGACTCTACATCCATTTCTGTGTGGAAATCATGGCCCTGAAGATCTCCGGGGTTGTGCTGTCTCAGCAGTGTCCTGACCACTGAGGCGGGGGAAGGGATGGATTCCTTCCTCTCCCAGGTGAAAAATGATCCCCAGCATCGTTGTGTGGCTGCTGAGCATTGTTGATAGCCCCCAAAGTACAGGTTTATGTTGCAGTGCTGCTCAGCAAAACAGGCGCAGAAGAACTTCCAGTGTAAAGTGACTGACTAGAATGTAACGGTGGGCATCCTTATGGTCCACGGTAAGATGGTTCTCATACAGTTGGATAGCACGTGATACAGAAAACCTTGCTAAACCTAAGTGAGTCCAGGTCTTGTCAGGATGTAGATGGGAGACCCCCTTCCTTAATGGAGACAAAGGCCAGAATAATATGGGTGAATTACGTTTTTGTGACAGGACAGGGTGTAGGTTCTGCCTCTCCCTAAGAGTAACCAGTGAGATGTGACAAAATGTCGGGGAGAGACAACTGGAAAACACCAGTCAAAAGAGCAGTTGGGAGTTGGCAACTGGGGAGTTGAGAGGGAAAAAGATCTGATTCAGTGAAGGTGGGGCAAAGATCAGCTTAAAGCAAGTTGACTAAAAAGAGTCCATTTGTAACAATTTGCAGTGACAATGGCCTGACCTACTTGTAAGAGAGAGGTGTAGAGGGTGGTAGGCACTCTCTGTGAATGGAGAAGGGGTTTCCTAATACCTTTCTCCATCTCCAACATGGTTTTAGCTGGACAGGAGAGCTAAACAGGACATGCTGAGCACTGTCCCTAGCAAGGCTGAGTGAGGCACTGACAAGAAAAGGAACCTTGCAGGATTCCCACGGTGGACACCTTCAGATACCCCTTTCTATGCCTACTCACCACCAACTCCTCTCTATACTGAAATGAGCTAATGCTTCTAACAACCTCATTTGTGGCATCACGGAGTAACCTGTCACACACGAACAGAATTCAGTGAGAATTACCTACCCATAGCTTTGGACACTGGTAAGCTGCCGATATACAAAGCTTTGTATTTCTGGACAGACTCTCTCACGGCATCCAGGATGTCAACTGCCAGGAGCAAGAGAAAGTACTTCACACTAACGTTCCCAAGGTGACATGTTAATAAATGCTGTGTTAAGCGATCTGATTTTTCACATTATACAGTTTCTTTCAGGTTATGACAAACAGGGCAGTTCTTTGGACTAAGGCTCAGGAATAACACCACCACCCCTGAAGTTCTGCTGCAGTGGGGAAAATGGAGAGGGATTTGTGCAATTTAAGAGCCTGGTACCTTGCAGAGGTAAGTCATCTGGTGTTATGGGTTCCAGAGTGACAGATCGAGTGAGGCTGTTACTTGCTACTGCCCGCTCAGCCATAATCTGCAACACAAAGAAAAGCCATTAGAGATTGGGATCTCCTGCAGGCTGCTGGGAACTGATGGGACAATGCCCCCCCCAATAGTCTTCCTGAACCAGAAGAGTCATGTTCATGGCAGGGAGTAATTTGATGTCCCAAGAATATGGTCAGCAACTAGACTGCCAACAGGAAGCCCCCTTGCCTTAGAAGAAGAAGAGGAGGAGGAGGAGATTGGATTTATATCCCGCCTTTCACTCGGAGACTCAGAGCATCTTACAAACTCCTTTCCCTTCCCCTCCCCCCAACAGACACCCTGTGAGGTAGGTGGGGCTGAGAGAGCTCTTTTGAGAACTGCTCTTTCAAGAACAGCTCTGAGAGAACTGTGACTGACCCAAGGTCATCCAGCAGCTGCAAGTGGAGGAGTGGGGAATCAAACCTGGATCTCCCAGATTAGAGTCCGCACGCTTAACCACTACACCAAACTTTAATAAGTGTGCCGGATGCAGCTGTGTGCTGCCTGAACCTATGCCTCTTTACGCAGAAGAATCCCCCTTAGTTTGATGGGACGCACTCCCACAGAAGTGTGCATAAGACTGCGGCCTTCTTTGCAGCTTTGGTCCATCCCCCCCCCCCCCCAACCCCCCCCCCCAAAGGCTAGCAGTCCACCTTATTGAGAGCTATGAGGACGACTGGGATCCAATGCTCCCTCTAAGCTGTGGAGTCTTGTGAGCGTAAATTCTACTTGGTGAGCTCCTGGCATTAAAGCTGTGAGCGAGCGATTGGGCTCCTGCATAAATTAGTTTGCTCTGGAGCCCTCCCTTCCTGACCTAAGACAAAAATCTGAGCTGGAGGCGAAAAAAACTGTGAGCTAGCTCACACTCACTCAGCTTAGAGGGAACTCTGCTGGGATCTCAGGGAATCTTTCAGGTGGAGTGACCGTATCAGTTGTCCCACACACACACACACACACACAAAAACGATGCCACAGTACAATGCTGTGGCAGTAGAAAACAGCAAGAGTCCAGGAGCACCTTAAAAACTAGCAACATCTGTGGCAGGGGACGAGCTTTTGTGAGTCACCGCTCACTCCTCCTGATTCATCATGTGGTGTAAGTCCCGGGGCCAGAGTGGAGGGTCCTCCCTCCCTCAGATGGGTGCGTGGAGTGAGGAGGCCTACCTTGGAGCACATTTCATGCAGCGCCTTGGCAATGGCCTTGGCAGGCACGTTGCAGTGGAAGACGTGGCACTTCAGCATACACGTATCCTTGTCACTGGCCACGAAAGCAAAATCCCTGCAAGCAGAAGGAAGTCCGGTGAGTGAGGACAAGGCTCTGAGCACCGGTCGTTTGTGCCAGAGGAAGAGTGGGCCTCACCTGTCCCTTAGGCAAGCGCAGCATGTGAGGAAAGAAAGAAGACTGGTTAATGCGGAGCCGCGGGAGGGACAGCTGTGTTGTGGGCCAGGACTCCCACCCGGCAGCATCTGATCATCCTTTAAGGCAGGGCTCTTTTTGTAGAAAAAGCCCAGCAGGAACTCATTAGCATAACAGGCCACACCCAAGAGCAGAAACTCATTAGGATTGGCTACATTAGGGGTGTGTGGCCTAACATGCAAAGGAGTTCCTGCTACAAAAAAGGCCCTGGGTTTTGACAACAGACAAGGTAAACAGAATAACAAGCAAAAGGTGTGTGTGGCTGGATGACCACACTTCTGGTAACACGGGGGTGCGGCTAATACGCTAATGAGCTGTGCTGTCAGAGGGTGTGGCCTAATATGCTAATGAGTTTCTGCTCTTGGGTGTGGCCTGTTATGCTAATGAGTTCCTGCTGGGCTTTTTCATTTCATTGGGAACATTTGGCTATACAATCTCAGGAGAATATATAGTTGACCAGAGAGAAGTACTACTGGACATGTGATTGCACTGGAGGTTTCGTTTGTATTTTTGCCCAGTGGTTTAACTTTGGAACAATTGTTTTCTGGTCTTTATTTCATATGTTGTATATGTTTGATTGTATATATTTTTACATATCAGCCGATATGTTCTATTTGCATTAGACCTCCGAGGAAGGCCTGTGAAGGCCGAAACGTGTTAGGTCTACTTCATCAGCCTTTGTATTTTTATATTTCTATATGAGGTATGAATGGGCCCTTATTTGTTGTTTTAATTTGTGTTTCATAAATACATGTATATTTTTGTATGTTTCATAATTAGATTTTTAGAGTTGGCCCTCTTCTATCCTTGACTAACCTTTTTAGGTTCTGACAGCTGTGTTGTGGGCCAGGGCTCCCACCCGGCTGCGTCTGAGAGGCCGAGCGCCAGTCTTTTTGTCATGCGCAAAGCCCACAAAGGAGAGAGAAGGACGGCAGAATGGACGCTGCCTCCCCTCCACTGCCTCTCACTGGACCTGTGGCTCAGCACTCCACTTGACCCTGCCCTTCGAATTAAGCTCGGGCAGCGCGGTCCCTGTCCCAAGGGGAGAAGCCACGACTCACCTGCCGTTGTTGCAGCCTACCCCCCAGACGCGGATGTTGATGATGGGCTGGCTGTGGAGGAGGCTGTGGTCCAATGGGTCTACCAAGCTCATGGTGTCCTTCTTCAGGATCATCACCATGTTCTGGCCCTGGAAGGGGAGACTAGAGGACTGTGAAGGAGGCTATGGGAACGTCCTTACGGAAAGCTTCCTCCACACCCTTCCCCCACTCATGGGAAAGGTCTGGGATTGGGTACGTTCGCCCCAGGCCATTCACAACTGTTTAATGGCATCTGCCTGTGATGCAGTGGAAGGAAGGGAGTCCCCCAAAAGCACCTTGCCTGTCAATGTGCCGGAAGGGCAGGAGCGGAGGCACCAAGCAAGAGGTGCATGCCTCCACCCTGGGAGAGTGTCACGGCAAACGAGAGAGCCTGCAGATCCAGGAGAGGAATGGCTCCCGTTTGCAACGTGGCCACAGAGCAGGAATCAGACAGGCCTCAAGTTATGGCCCCTGGAGTCCCATGCCTTTGGCACTCACCTCACCCCATCTGTCCGCAGGGTTCCAGCTCTCACACTTGCTCTGAGAGAGTTGCTGGATGCAGTTGTTCACCGCAATGCTGCTTTTGCCAGGGGCCAGGTCCTCCTCTGGAATCTCCACCCAGCCTAAGGAGCGCACAACGAAGCACTAGCAGGAGAGAGACGCAGCAATCACTGTAACACACGTCCCAGTGCCCACACGCACACGCACACCACCCCCTTTAGCCCTTCATCAGCCATTCTCCCCTATGTATTTCTCACACTTAGTAGAAGGCTGTGGTCACACAGCAAGCCTACCATAATTTGTTCCCGCTGTAGATTTGATCGGGGATATTTTTAAGCGGGTTCAGATGATCACACATCCCTTGCCCAACCGCTTGCTTTGCGCGACAACGCTCCAGGCACTGTCCAGACAAAAATTCTGCGCATGTGCACATATGCGCAAGCATGCGCACAATGGTGAAAGTCGCAAAAAAAAAACCTAATGGAAGAAGGACGTTCAGACGACCTAATCGCAATCATTGCAAGAGATGGCTTGTCCAGATAGGCCGATCGCTAATTCAAAGTGCAAGTACCCGGAAAGTAGTCGATTTTCACGGTGTCGGACAAATCGCTAGGGAACCGGGAGGGGTCGCGCGAATGAGCCCACTTCGGTGTGGGAGACGGATGTGGGCGTCTGATCAGCAATTTTAAATGTGAGAGGGAACAGCGGCGAAACCCAATCCAAATGACTGTGTGACTACAGCCAAAGTTTGGACTGGTGTAGAGAACCAGCGCAGCCCAGTCCTGTCTGGCCACCAGCGGTAGTGTGCTGAGAAGATCTGCATCCGCTGTCCTGTTCCATGTGGGGTGGGCCAGTGCCCGGGATAACTGCCCTTTCTGCTATGCCACATGGCTTGTGGTAAAGGTAAAGGTTCCCTTGCTCGAAAGCCAGTCGAGTCCGACTCTAGGGTTGCGGTGCTCATCTCCGTTTCCAAGCCGAAGAGCCAGCGCTGTCCGAAGACGTTTCTGTGGTCATGTGGCCGGCATGACTAAACCCCAAGGCGCACGGAACGCTGTTCCCTTCCCACCGAAGTGGTCCCTATTTATCTACTTGCCATTTCTTGCTTTCGAACTGCTAGGTTGGCAGGAGCTCGGGCCAGAGACGGGAGCTCACTCCGTCATGTGGCACCCTTGGGTCTCGAACTGCTGAACTACCGACCTTCCACAGCCTGCAGCTCAGCGTCTTAACCACTTGAGCCACCGCAGCTCCTGCTTGTGGTAAAGGTAAAGGTCTCCCTTGCTCAAAAGCCAGTCAAGTCTGACTCTAGGGTTGCGGTGCTCATCTCCGTTTCCAAGCCGAAGAGCCAGCGCTGTCCGAAGACGTTTCTGTGGTCATGTGGCCGGCATGACTAAACACCAAGGCGCGCGGAACGCTGTTACTTTCCCACCGAAGTGGTACCTATTTATCTACTTGCAATTTCTTGCTTTCGAACTGCTAGGTTGGCAGGAGCTGGAACTAGAGACGGGGTACTTCCTCCCTTTTATCACCCAATCTTTTGTCCTTTCAATGCCAGGCTAAAACCTTCTCTTTTTGTGCAGGCATGTTTGAATGCTGGTTTAATTAAGCTGGTGTGCATGGTCTCTTTTCTTTAATGCTCTGCAGCTAAACGCACACAGAATTCTTCTATATCTGAGACCTAGCTCTAATCTAGTCCTCATGTTTTCCTAATTGACAAGGGCAGTGCAGTTACCAGCATTCCTTACCCTTATTTATTGGTTGATGAAGGTTCGAGACTGTCAGAATCAGTGTTCCCTCTAAGCTGAGTTAGTGTGAGCTAGCTCACAGGTTTTTAGCCTCCGGCTCACACATTTTTGTCTTAGCTCACGAAGGATGGGGCTCCAGAGCAGACTAATTTATGCAGTAGCCAAATCAACTTGCTCACAATTTTAATGCCAGTAGCTCACAAAGGAGAATTTTTGCTCACAAGACTCCACAGCTTAGAGGGAACATTGGTCAGAATGGTTTCTACTGTTAAATGATGAGTTTATAATCCAACTTGATCCTCTTGTTGTTGCTTGTGATGTTTATTGTTGTTAATATCATAGGACCTTTTCTGCTTTTCAAAATGGAATTTTGTAATGAACTTTTAACTGCTGCCACTCTTTTACTGACTCAGGCCAGATTGCTTTCTGCTGCGAGGGTTTTTTTTTGGGGGGGGGGGTTAATAATTTTCTGCCACTGCTTCACTGTACTGACTTCTGTTAATTTTAGAGATGTAGCATTTGTAAGTTCATATCAGGTGTTGCAAAAAAAATAATAATGGGATATATTCAGGAGAGAGTTTGCCAAAGACAAGCTCGTAAAACAGTATTGATGGGAACGGTTGGTCCCTCTCTCCTACACTCCGGGAAAATCCTTCAGTAAGAGTAATTTGACTGGAAGGGAGGAAATAATTTTACTTTTTATTAAAAGTTGCATTCTGGTGTTTTTCTTCAATGGAATCCTTTTTTTCTCCACTCTGACCTACACTGTAATCTTGCTAGTTTTGTTATAAATTGGACTCCAATACTGAATTGTTGCAAGGATGTTGAATTCAGCTGAGTTGGATTAACTCTGGTTAGACTAATTTGTTTCCCCCAAGGCAGAGCACCTCCATTATTTTTATGCTGGTCTGGCAAGAGAGATATATTGTGCAAGAACAGATCCCAAAATGCTCAGGCTGGTAAATGGGGTAGCCTCTGTTGCCTCCAGCTTTCATAAGAAGTTCAGTTATTAACTTTAATGAATCATGTTAAAAAATATGCACATACCAAAAAGCCTGGTCATGTGATTGTAACAAGATTCTCACTGAAGATCAATGGTCTGCTATATGGCACACCTCTTTCTCCTCCTCGTCATCAGCTCACATTAGGCTACAATCCTACAAGATTTTATCTAGGTGGTAAATCACACCCCAAAAACTAGCTCACATCATACCTTCTAACTTGGCGCTTTGCTGGAAGGGCTGTGGAGAAGTCAGAACCTTTGCCCACTGCTGGTGGAAGTGCCCTCGAATAAATGAGTTTTGGACCAAAATCCTTCAGCACATCGCACAAATAACTGGCCATTCCATAACATTATCCCCTGAAACAATTCTTTTGCATCATGAAGATGATCCGTCAATACCAAAGATCCGTTGGGAGCTGATACACAGCTTGTTGACTGCGGCTCAGACGATATTAGCAAGGCACTGGAAGCTACAATCGTTACCCTCCCTATCAGAATGGTACTCAAAGATCTGGGATCACTTAATAATGGGAAAGAGCACAAACAGAATGCTCCAATCAGACATACACCCAAAGCAAACAGACTTCACTGAGACATGGTTTCCATTCGTCACACATGCTCTTGATCAAGACATTGTTCCTCCAAATCAAACATACCGTCAACTACTTCTAACCTCTTCTAACTTCTCACCGTATAACAATTACCTCTCTTTTCTCCTTTTCAAAGGCAATAGGTTCAAAGCATCCAATTACAACCATAGCACTTGCCCTATCGTATAGTTTCATATCACATTCTGGATTCTCTAATTTGAATTCTCACTGAAGATCAATGGTCAGCTATATGGCACACCTCTCTCTCCTCCTCGTCATCCGCTCACATTAGGCTACAATCCTACAAGATTTTATCTAGGTGGTACATCACACCCCAAAAACAGCAATACAGCTGATGTATAACACAAAGCTTTGACATGCATGCTATAAGGTTTATAAGGTATTGTGTGTGTAAATGTGTTATACATTTGTTACTTAAATTTTAATTCCCTTGTTATATCAATAAAAGTTATATTAAAAAAGGGGGGTTCCACAGCTTATCCCAGCTCTGGGATCGCCCAGCATAGTGCCTGTGGGCACCCTGCAGCCCGCCAATACCTTTTCTGGTGCCCACGAAATGTTCTTAGAAAGTGGGAAGAGCCAACAAGGCTTCTGATTGGCTGGGTGGATTTTTAAAATCTCTCCTTTGGCAGCAACTGCCCCCACAGCACAAGGCTCTTTGCTGTGTGACTGAGGGTAAGTTGTGGCAGCCATTTTTGTGGCTGGCTCTGCCTCCTATTTAGGTTGGCCAGGTCTTACCTGGCCGGTGACAGGGGGCTCCCAGGTCCTGTCCAGGATGTTTGTCTCGTTGCCGACATTGGGAGCGATGCTCTAGGTTTTGGGCAAAACTCTATGGATTTTGCCTTCAAAACCATAGAGTTTGCCCAAAAACTAGAGTGTCACACACGCCCCCGACGTCAGCAACACAATGACGTCACTTCCAGGTGACGTCATTGTTTTGGGGACATCACATGGCAATGTCCCTGTTTGGGGGTGGGGTTTCCTCCACCGGCCAATTAGCTAGCAGCAGATCTAGGCCCCTAAAAGCAGGGGAACCCCTGCTGGGACCCGGGAACCCTACTCCGTGGCCGCCATTTTGTAGCTACACCCACCACAGTGTGTCAGAATCCCAAAGATACCCCGTATGTTCCAAGAGGTTAGAGACCTCTGTTCTATCTTCCTCCCAGGAAATGCCTCACCTACGCTGGGCTCATCCGCCTTGTGCCAAAGAAAGGGGCTTCCTCAGTCAAGTCAGAGTTCTGAGCCAAATTCCCCCCCCCCCCCCCCCGGCCCCCCCCCCTGACTGTACCTTGGATCCTGGCTCTGCGCTGACTTGATGGCGCTCCTCCCCAGGCCATGGCAGTGACGTCCTGTAGCCAGGAGACAAGCAGAGCAGAACAGTGACCAGCAGCGCTTCTGAGCCAACCCTGGTGAACGTCTCTTCGTCTCCACAGCAAAGGCGGAGTAGCAGCCATGAAACTGATCACCTTCTCAGCTCCACCTGAACTCAGTCTCTACTGGGCTTCATCCAAAATACATTATTTCCTATCAGATCTACAGATAACATGCTCAGCCTATGCCCTTCAGCCCCGTGGGAAGGCCACAGAAATCAGGGATCCCCCCCCCCCAATATTCATTCAAATGAAACGTGGTATGTGCATTTGGCAAAGCGGCCCCATGCAGCCAATCCTACCTTCTGGGAAGTGACGCCATCGGACTTGGGATGGGTCTCTCCACTGGCACACGGTTTACTTTAGCAGCCTGGAGTTCCTGAGGGGGGGGAAAGCTCATGAGAATTCTGTCCTTGACGTGAACTTGGAAATACTATGGCACCATATTGGGGGGGGGCCTCATCTGAGCAGAACATTTTGTAGGGAGCCGCAAAAATGCACCTGATTCCCCGGAAGCCTGATGGGGGCCATATTGCTGGGCTGATTCCTCCCACAAACCCACACTGCAGATGGGTATTAATCACAGATAGCAGACAGCAGAAGAATCTCCAGCGGCAGCAAGAGAAAGATTCTTTCTGAGTCTCAGGAATGCTACTGGTAATCAGGCTCAGGAACCCTGCATACGGCTGCTCCCTAAGATCATATGGAACTAATGCAGGCTCCTCCTCCTCACATTATTGGGTAATATTTGTGAAGAATTGTATCAGCTTATAGTGGAGTGGACGAGCAATTCAGAAACGGGTTATTGCGCCGCCAGAATCTATACCGTTTTCTTCTAGACGGCAAATTCTATGGAGAATTACAAGTACATGGACAGAGCCAAGTCTTAATGAACAACAATAGGGTACCCCAACGGATTAGCCGATCTTGCAGCAGTAGATAAAATCATTATGGAAAATCAATAGGTCTGAGCATTTACGACATTTAATGGCCTCATCCGATGCTAATGTCGCTGTCCTAAACATATTTACTTGGAAGCACTATTTTTTTTTAAATTACATTGTTTGTTTTGAATGGCCAGCAAGTAAAACATTCAATCTAGTCTCCTCGCTTCACTTTTCTGTCTGTTGAACTGGAGGGATGCCATAGTTGGCCTAGGGCAGCAAGCAACCTTGGGCTGGCCTTGATTTGGCAGTGCCATCCTAAACAGTGGTGCACCATTGAAGTCAATGGGCTTAGAAGGGTGTAACACTGCTTTGGATGCTACTGTGATTTATCTCACCCACCTGTATGCCCTCTGAGTGACATCACCAGTCTTTTGGTGTCAATTTTGAAAATAATGTCTTTCAGGGCTCTTTTTGTAGAAAAAGCCCAGCAGGAACACATTAGCATAATAGGCCACACCCAACAGCAGGAACTCATTAGCATATTGGGACACACCCCTGACAGCACAGCTCATTAGCACATTAGGCCACCCCCCCATGTTACCAGAAGTGTGGTTATCCAGCCACACCCACCTTTTGCTTGTTATTCTGTTGACCTTGTTTGTTGTCAAAACCCAGGGCTTTTTTTGTATCAGGAACTCCTTTGCATGTTAGGCCACACACCCCTAATGAAGCCAATCCTAATGAGTTTCTGCTGTTGGGTGTGGCCCAGAGGTCATTTCGGGGGGGAACGCAGGGGAACACAGTTCCCCCGGGTGAGGTACGGGGGCGGGGCACATGACGAAGCCCCGCCCCCTGCTTCCGGCCGCCCCGCTTCCGGCCCTCATTCAGCCGGGAGGAGGCAGGAGAAGAGGGAGGGTAAGTTGCTTCCTCCCTGTCTCTCCCGACCCCTGCCTGCCTGGGGCCAGGGAGGGCCTTCGCGGGGCTTCCTTGCACTCCCGCCGGCCTTGCAGGTCCACCGCCGGGCCCCTCATGGGGCTCGGCAGTGGAGCTGCAAGGCCAGCACCGGCGGCCGGGAGTGTTGGAGGCGGGGGGTGTGGCCTTATGACACATTTCCGGTGATGTCAGGCGGTGTGGCCTTATGACACACTTCCAGTGATGTCAGGGTGTGTGGCATATGCTAATGAGTTATGCTAATGAGTTCCCCTAGCTCTTTTTCTACGAAATGACCCCTGGTGTGGCCTGTTATGCTAATGAGTTCCTGCTGGGCGTGGCCAACTTGGGAGCCAGCCGGAACTCCGTTCCTGTGCGTTCCTGCCCAAAAATAGCCCTGATGTCTTTGTTGATCTGTATGACCTAGACCACACAGAATCATTCAAACATAGAAAATGCTGTTCAGTGGAGCGGACACGACGAGTACTGCCCATGGGCACTTATAGCACCATGAGAGTTTTTTTTAAAAAAACACTGGATAACATGGAAACAGCCCTAACTATGAAGACAGAGAGCAATTACTGGTTATCTACATTATTGTTATTGATCACATGGGTAGTACTGAAAACGTGCAAAACGTGCTTTACCGTTTCTAATGACGTAGCCTCCCCACTGGATCCTAAACCAGTGGCGCATGATGGGTGTTGCCACTGGGTGGTGCCTGTGGGCACATGCCAGTAGTAGGTCCCTGAGGAATCGCGGATTTTCCTCCATCCTGGTGGAAGGTCAAGATCTGCCTCCAGATTCTGGTCGTTCCATAGGTTATCTAAGGATAGCGGAGAAGAGACAGCATGGACATAATTTCACAGTTCTGTGCCACCGATATATTTGCCCAATCCCTCATCTAGCCCAGTACTGGAACTCCCATGATGCATGGGCAGTCCCACCTTTTGCTTCCTTCTAGTTTGAGAATAGAATTGGCCAGGGATGACTAGAGATGTGAAGGCCCGGGAAAAAACCAGAAAACTTCGGGGAAAACCAGTTTATTTCCGTTTTTCCCCTGAGCCTTAGAAAAGAAAAGAAAATTGATTATGGAACATTTTATTTTAACATAATGAATAAAATATTTTAAGACAAGGTGTTCAAATATTTTCCAAATCATTTCTAAAATATATATATATATGGTATCAGATTGATCTAATTTCTGTGCACTGAGGGCAAGCAAGTCCTAGGTTACAAACTGAACTCTCCAATGCAAGAACAAGATGCATTTCTTCCTTTAGGAGGTGCGATTGTCAGAAGAAAATAAAAAAGTTTCAGTATTGTTTTTGCATGTGGGTGGGTATTCTGTTTGTAATAATTGTTTGGATACACTCTATTTTTAATATGCTAGTTGTGATAATTTCATGCCAAGTAAAAATGTCCATAGTCATATTTTATGTTCCTAAAGTAACAGAATGACTTTCAATCTAGAAAAGACAAAAGAAATGCTAATGTAGCATTTTTTCCCCATTTTTCCAAAAATTTCCGTTTCCCCCCGAAAAAACCCGGGGAAAAAACGGGTTTTTCTCTGAGCTTCAAAATTTCTGGAAATTTTACATCTTTAGGGATGACCACTTTCTGGGCCATTTTCCAGGGGGAAAGCACTTACTGACTGATTGCTTCAAACTGGGATTTCCATTGGGCAAGAACTCTCTCACCCTTCCGGTCTATCAGTATTTATACTTTGTGCTTCTATACGCATATTTAACTGCATATTTGTAACTGTTAAGTTTGGGAGGCAGATGCAGCTGAGCTGAACACCGACGTTTCAAGCAGGGACATCTGCAGGGAAACTCCTGATGGTTGGTGATTTGGGGTCTTGGGCTCCTTTTGCACAGTCCTGTTCTGAATGCATCAGTGCTTGAAGCAAGCCGTGTCAAGAAGGTGGCAAAAAAAACCCCTCCTTCTCCACAGTTAGGTTCCCCACTGCAGATCTCTGAAACTGAGGAGTCAACCAAGTCAAGGACCACTAACAGACAAAAGGAAATACTTCCTTATTCAACAAGTTATTAAAACGTGGGATTTGCTGCCAGAGAATGTAGTGATGGTGATAGGTGTAGAAGGCTTTCAGATTCACGGAAGACAGGTCTATCAGGGGCTAGTAGTCATGGTGATTAAAGGGTACAGAGCAGGCACCCTCTAAATCCCAAAGCCATGAGACAACATCAGGGGAAGGCCTTGGCCTCTATGCTTGTTGTTGGCCCTCCAGTGGAACTGGTTGGCCACTGTGTGAGGCAGGATGCTGGACTTAGATGGACCCTCACTGGTCTGATCCAGCAGGGCTCTTCTTAAGTTATTATGAAGGCCTCAGCCTCTGTGCCCTGTTGTTGGCTCTCCAGAGGAACTGGTTGGCCACTGTGTGAGACAGGAGGCTGGACTAGATGGACCCTCACTGGTCTGATCCAGCAGGGCTGTTCTCAAGTTATTATGAAGGCCTCAGCCCCTGTGCCCTGTTGTTGGCCCTCCAGAGGAACTGGTTGGCCACTGTGTGAGAAAGGATGCTGGACTAGATGGACCCCTGATCTGATCCAGCAGGGCTCTTCTTAAGTTCTTATGAAGGCCTCGGCCTCTAGGCCCTGTTGTTGGCCCTCCAGAGGAACTGGTTGGCCACTGTGTGAGAAAGGATGCTGGACTAGATGGACCCCTGGTCTGATCCAGCAGGGCTCTTCTGATGTTCTTATGAAGGCCTCGGCCTCTAGGCCCTGTTGTTGGCCCTCCAGAGGAACTGGTTGGCCACTGTGTGAGACAGGATGCTGGATTAGATGGACCGCTGGTCTGATCCAGCAGGGCTCTTCTGATGTTCTTATGAAGGCCTCAGCCACTATGCCTGTTCTGGCTCTCCAGAGGAACTGGTTGGCCACTGTGTGAGACAGGATGTTCAATTAGATGGACCGCTGGTCAGATTCAACGTGGCTCTTCTTATAGTTATATGTTCAGACTATTTCCCTGATATAAATCGTCTTCCCCCCTCCATGAAGCTACATTTTACTCAATAGAGCGGGGAACACATGAACACATGAAGCCGCCTTATACTGAACCAGACCCTGGGTCTGTCAAGGTCAGTTTTGTCTACTCAGGCTGGCAGCAGCTCTCCAGGACCTCAGGCAGAAGTCTTCTGCATCACTTTTAATGGGAGATGCCGAGGATTGAACCTGGGACCTTTTGCATGCCTTTGTGCCACAGCCCCTCCCAAGAGAAGAGGGTGTATCTGTGTTTTCCTTGCGGGAGGGGTTAAATCAAGGGGAAAGCATGGGAGGAAAGGGTTACAGGTCCTCCCTCAGCACTGTTTCCCCTGTCTTAGGAGAACAGCCATGGCCCAGTGATCAGAGGGTCAGCTTTGCCTGCCGAAGGTTCCTGGTTCAGTCTCCAGTTAAAAGGAACAGAGAAGAAGAAGAAGAGGAGATTGGATTTATACCCCGCCCTTCACTACGCAAAGGTGTCTCAGAGCGGCTTATAAACTCCTTTCCCCTCCCCTCCCCAGAACAGACACCCTGGGAGGTGGGTGGGGCTGAGAGAACTCTGACACAAACTGCTCTTTTTCAAGGACAGCTGTGCCAGAGCTTGTGACCGACCCAAGGTCACATCAGCAGGTGCAAGTGGAGGAGTGGGGAATCAAACCCGGTTCTCCCAGATTAGAGTCTGCACACTTAACCACGACACCAAACTGGCTGTGGAAAGACCTAACTCTGCCCCAAACCTTGCTTGCAACAGGCAGTACTCATGGGGGGGGGGGACTGTGTACACCTCCCACTCATAATCATTTTCCCAGTCAGAATGTTGCCTCCCAACCACAGTGGAGGAGGTACAGAATCTCCTCCACTGGGGGGCAAACAGCTCAGGAAGAGCAATTTTGAATGCATGAACGGACAAGGGGGGGGGAGGGCGAAGTGGTCACTTCCTTTACTCAGCCTCTTCCCACAGTCGCTCTTTGGTCTTCAAAAGTCAGGAGACAGTTTGCACACTTCCTGTCACGGCAGGACCAGGGGGCGTGACACAAGCAAGCAAAAGTCCAGGAACAGTCCGAGGTCAAGCTGGGCAAATCAGGTAGCAAGGTTCAAGCAGGTTTAAATCACAGTCCAAAAGCAGGGTCAGACATACCAAAGTTTCAAGTCCATAAATCACAACAATACCAGAGGAGTCAGAGATGAACGCAGGGTCAACAAAGCCAAAGGTCAAAAGCCGAGGATCAAGCCGAGAAGAATTCCACAAGGTCTGGAGCAGAGATGCAAGGATTCAGGTCCTGAACAAACGACGTTGCCAGCACAAATGACTGCTGGCAACAGACTTGCATATATACAGTGCTAGCTAATCAACTCATTAGCTAGCCAGGAGTGAGGACAGGATCCTGTCAGTAATCAGGGCTAAGAGATCTTCTGGCACGCATGCGTGCATTCTGCCTTCGCTCTCTCAGCTGTTGTCTTCTTACATTCCTGAGCCTGGTTACAGGTGGAGGCGAGTCTGATGATGAATTACTGGGCTGCAGCAGAGACTGATCCCTTGCAGGTGTTCCCTGGGAGGCTCTATCCTCCTCACCACTTAGATAGCTTTCAGCTACAGGATCCAGTCTTTGCCTTTCTGCTGCAGTACTGTCCTCAGGAGCCTGTTCAGGGTCCTCAGGAGCCTGTTCAGGGTCCTCAGGAGCCTGTTCAGGGGCATCAGCAAAGGCAGGCATGACATCAGCAGGGGCAGGCATGACACTTCCCATGTATCGTCTGTTCTTCCCTCAGACTTCCTGGAACCGAATGCGAATGATGCGTTCCATGTGCCCCAGTTTGACTCATCAGCTTGTCCCAGGCATCATGGCATTCAGAAGCCACAGTCAGCCAAACGCTTCTCGAATGCTAATTGCACGCTGGGTGCCATTCACACTGCCAAAACAACTGGTTTCCTTTGCAAAGGACGAACAGTCTACCTTACATGGGACAAGACGGCTGTGCGATTTTAAACATGGGGAAATGGTGAGGAATATAATGAACATGGCCTTAACAGCCAATGAGGAAGAGCCCGTTTCCCCTTGGAAGTCCTCGAGCGCAGGACCAGCGGCAAACACAAATCCAGAAGCGCAGCCAGGTGCTCCTGCTGTAGGACTGCCAGGTGCAGGGCTGTGACCGTAACCGTATCTGCCCCAGTGCACACCGCCAAAAATAGCCGGAGGTCAGCGTGCCCCTTCTGCTTTAGTGTCCTGGTGATTCTCCCTATGCAGAGGGAACAGAAGGGGAATAATCCATCACCTGCACTTCAGTTCCATATCACAGGCCCTGCTGCCTCCGCCTGCCCATCCTTTGCAACAGTTCAACTGGCAGCACAGGAGGGAACACCTCCCGCCCAAAGCATTGAGAGTGGAGAGGTGCCAACTGACCCCATTCCTGCCAGTCGCACAAGCATGCCTTTGCGGTCATCTCCTGACTGCCGGCCTCCCCCCCACCCCCACAGAAGACTGTGCCCAAGATAGTGAGCTGGGTTAGCCATTTAGCGAGAGGCCAAGGGGGGGGTTCTCCTGGAGGGCCACTCTGAGTACCGCCTGGCCTGCTTCAAATGGCTGTCTTCGCAGAGGCTTTCTCCAGCTGGGAGGGAGATGCTGTTTCCAGGCAGCAGCCCCGCTCCTTGCAGCCCGAGCAGTCGGCTTCCTGTTGGGCACAGCGGCTAACCTGTGCAGTAAACTGCTGGCTGCGAGCAGTGTGAGGCCTGTCACTCTGGAGAAAGCGGCCTCTGGGCCACAGCGGTTGAGTGTGCAGCCGCCATCGGGACGGAAACCAGAGCCCAGTGCAGGGAAGCAATTGATGGGGGGGGGGGGGGGAGGGACAAGCTGGGCAAGTCAGTAGGGAGCTCTCCTAAGTGCTGACGAGCTTCGTCCAACTGGCTCCCCGTCAATTCGTCCAAATTAGGAATTGGGGGTTGCTGACGTCCCACCTCAGCCCTAGAACTTCGAGATGGAACCGGTTTAACATTCCCAAAACAGGATTCCCCATCACGGCTTCACATCTCCCGGCCTCTGCGGTTGCAAAGCAGTGATCGGCCCCGAACTCACCAAGAGCACAGCATGACGTCAGGAAGCCAGCATCATCGTGCAGCTGAAACAGAACTTGACTTAACCCCATACTGCCTGTCTTCTTTACCTCTCATCTGCTCTGCGTACAGAATGGCATCCACTTGCCACTGAGTGACATCTACGTTTTGCAGAAAGCAAAGGTGTGTCTTCCACACTTCCCTACGTCGGTGTCTGTTAGTAGACTCAGGTGGGTCAGCTGTGCTGGTCTGAAGCAGCTAAACAGAATTTGAGTCCAGGGGTACCTTTAAGACCAGCAACGTTTTATTCCAGGTATGATCTTATACACTGTGTTGGTCTTAATGGCGTCTGTTAGTGTCATCCTAAACAGAGTAACACCCTTCAAGTCCATTGAAGTCAATAGGTTTGGGAGAGTCTAACCCGGCTCGAGAGCCCGTCCTGTCTTTTGCTTCAAAATCCCTGGAATAAGGCAGGTAGCTTCCTTTCCCCACGATCCCAGATACTAGATCCTTTCAGCATGTCTTCTTTGCATGATCCATGTGCAGAAAACCCAGTTCACATTAAAGATGCTATGGATGAGGGCAGACGCGTAGGTTTGCTCCCAGGCCCTGCCAGTTATCTAACCTCAGGTATCAGACGATGCATGAATGGGCCACAGAATCACAGAAAGGGAAAACGAACAGCCTCGATTTTGGAAGCATTCCGAGTCTCAGATCTGACCCATTTCAAAGCACACTCCATCCAGCAGAGTCATTTCCAGAGCCTGCCCACGACATTCCGTTGCTGAATTCACATCTTTGAATTGCGCAGAACAACATCTTAACCTTCCTCCTCTCCACTACCGCAAACCACTAAACAATCGCACTCGGTGCCAACTCTTGAGAATTTAATCAAGGAAATGCAGCCTCCACAGATGGGATTAATCTGGCCAGAAGCAGGCTGTTGCTCAGGGCCCCCTCCTCCTTCCCCGCCCCCTCCCAGTTCTGTCCCTGCTGCCAAATGCCTTAAGGGAGGGAGGGAGGGCTTCGGAGAAGAGAAGCTAGTAACTTTCCTTCCATTTGTTATGTGGAAATAACCGGAAAGGTTTCCAGCACTGGCAAAAGGAAGCAGATGGGCACCCGAAAAGAAAAGAGGGGGAAAAAAAAGACTGGGAAATTATTTGTGTGTGGGGGGGTGTGATTTCTGTTAGCAATTAATTCCCTTTAATAAAACCCTGCCACGTCTTCACAGTGCAGAACATTTCACTTAGCTTGTACTGCCAGGAGGCTGAGTCACCAAAGCCCACCCCACTAGCTCCCCAAGTGTGAAAGGATGAGAAGTTGGGATGGTCCACCCAATCTGCGGAGCACCACGATCCATGATGTTGCTGCCTCTTAAAGGTAAAGGTCTCCCTTGCTCGAAAGCCAGTCGAGTCCGACTCTAGGGTTGCGGTGCTCATCTCCGTTTCAAAGCCGAAGAGCCAGCGCTGTCCGAAGACGTCTCCGTGGTCACGTGGCCGGCATGACTAAACACCAAGGCGCACGGAACGCTGTTCGCTTCCCACCGAAGTGGTACCTATTTATCTACTTGCCATTTCTTGCTTTCGAACTGCTAGGTTGGCAGGAGCTGGGGCCAGAGACGGGAGCTCACTCCATCATGCGGCACCCGGGTCTCGAACTGCTGAACTACCGACCTTCCACAGCCTGCAGTTCAGCGTCTTAGCTACTTGAGCCACCGCAGCTCCTGCTGCCTCTTACTAAGGGCTTAATGCATAAATCCGATGGAGACACTGCTGGTGCAGGGCAGTGAGTGATTCTGGGGCCCTGGGAAAAGTCCAGGATGGGCCCCCCAAATCACTGCCGCTTCACTGATGCCCCCCAGTGCCAAGCAGAGGTGCTCTCGCCCCATGTGAGGTGGGCATGATCCGCTGTCACCGGAAACCAGCTGGCCAAGCTCTGGATGGGGTGAACACGGGCGACAGTAGGAGCCTGATCTCTGTTTCTTTTCTTCCTCTTAGGGCCACATGGGTGGTGGGAGCATTCCCAATGTGGGGGCCCAGGACGGCTGCCCCTGCTGCCCATTACCTAAGACCACCCCTGCAAGGAGCCCCAAATGGCCCAGGGACCTCCATCAGACCAATGAACAAGCTACAGGTCTCACAACGGTCTAATCTATGGCTATCCACCAGAACAGGACGTTTTGTTCCGAATCAAACTAAATGAGGTGTGAGAGATCCATTGATGTTCGTTCCTTACTTTTTTGGCTTAGCTTCAGTGCAGCTGCAGAGGATTCTGATCTGAGAAGAGCAGTTTTTATGTGTGTGTGTGTAGGGGGAGTGTTTAATCTACTCTCCCTGTGTGTTATTTTTCTCATCAAAATCTTACCTGCCCATCTGACTTCTCACCCATGGGAAGGAAAGTTCTGAGTCTATGGATCTTTTCACCAAGGGGAAGGGCAATTTTTAGCAGATAATGGCCTGTGGAGAAAGGATTCAGCATCCCCCCCCCAGCTCCAATCAAATGTGGACCCTCCCAATCTGCATTAAAGTAAAAATATTCTTTAAAATCAAGGTAAACTCCATGTGTCCAGTTTCCCTGGGAATGGAGCTGGGAGTTTCACTGGGAATGGAGCTGAAATATCCCATACCTGCAAATATTCTAACTGTAACACATGTTTAGGAAGACAACAAACAGAAAGGCAATGTTTATATAACTCTCTCACCCTCAGTCACTGGCCAATCAGTACTGATCACTGCTGTGACTAGTGCTCCTTCTAAGCTGTGTGCGTGTGAGCGGCCGCTCATTAACACAGGAAGCCCCGCTCAGCAGCAGTCTGGAGCCAGAAAGGGTCCTGAACTGCCCATTGCCCATTTTAAGCTTATAACACTTATATTCTGCTCTGAACTGCTCTGCTCAGTAAGGGGAAAAAATTAGAGAGAAAATTGACTGTGACTGGATTCCATTTGCTCCTGGCTCACCACCTTCAGTGCCCTATTCTGCCAAAACACAGATTGGCCAGGAACACATTCAATGTTCCCTCTAAGCTGTGGAGTCTTGTGAGCAAAAATTCTACTTTGTGAGCTACTGGCATTAAAGTTGTGAGCAAGCAATTTGGCTACTGCATAAACTAGTTTGCTCTGGAGCCATCCTTCCTGAGCTAAGACAGAAATGTGTGTGCCGGAGGCTAAAAAACTGTGAGCTAGCTCACACTAACTCAGCTTAGAGGGAACATTGAACACATTCCATCTCATAGGTAGCCTTTGTCTTCTTTCCCAGACAAAGTTTTCTACCAGCATATCTGAGTGTGGGATGAAATTATTTTCTGACTGACACCCTCTGATTGGGCCAGTATGTGGATTCAGGCCTCACTTTGCTACATAAGCTGGTTTGGACAAGTTTGTGTAAACATTCGACAATGGAATTTTCTAGAAGAGGTGACCAAAAGAAAACCACACAGCCAACCAAAGAGGACAAGTACTATGTCTTCAAGGGATACAAGGCGGGGCTGCAGGTAAAATCACAGTAATTCACCCAAGATACCATCAGTCTAAGCCATAAAGAATTAATAGCAGGAGCTAGGGCTTGGTTCCACCAATCTCTGCAATGTTGTGACTACCCTGTGGAAGCCAAAGGATAATGTCTGAGACTTGAACAGGCGTGACAAATGCATGGCACAGAATATGCGGTTCTTTTCTAATCCTCACATTGATATCTACCAGTAAACCTTCGTCAGACTGAATGACCACAGTCCACAAGACTGTTAACAAAGCACACAGGATGCATATCTAAAGAGACCCTCTGAGCAACAGCCCTGCAATCTGGATAGAAGCGGGTTGTTCTATCAGGACTGGATACAAAGCTCTTATGTTCTTATTAGCTTGGAGAAAAGACGACTGAGGGGTGACATGATCGAGGTTTACAAGATTATGCATGGGAAAAAGCAGGTAGAGAAAGAGGTACTTTTCTCCCTTTCTCATAAGAACTCGTGGGCACTCCATGAACTTGCTGAGCGGTCGGGTTAGAACGGATAAAAGGAAGGACTTCTTCACCCAAAGAGTGATTCACACTTGGAATTCACTGCCACAGGAAGTGGTGGCGGCTACAAGCAGGGACGGATTCAAAAGGGAATTAGATAAGCATATGGAGCAGAGGTCCATCAGTGGCTATTAGCCACAAGGTATAGATAGGGGTTCTGGGGCAAGTGATGCTCTGTCTTCTTGGGCTTGGGGGGGCCAACAGTGGGAGGGCTTCTAATGCCCTGGCCCTACTGGTGGACCTCCTGATGGCACCTGGTATTTCTGGCCACTGTGTGACACAGAGTGTTGGACTGGATGGGCCTTTGGCCTGATCCAACATTGGCGTCTCTTATGTATGTATGTTCTTACAATGGGTTTCTGCCACTCACTCTCTGATGGTTGTTCATTTGCAGAATGTTCCTGTTTGACACTGTTTACACCATGTGGGACAGGTGTCACCAGGAGTTATGAGCCACTAAGGCTGCGGTCAGATATGCAGTTTGATCCATTGTGGCCCCACCTCTAATTGATCCAGGGTTTTTTGTAAAAGAATTCTGATCAGAAACACCCCATCCTTGAGTGATCGGATGCAGCAGCCAGGGAGTGGGGCCATTGGCCATTTTTTTTTTGTCCTTTGAGCATGCGTACAAGTGCTTATGAGCCTGCTGGGATATGTAGTTCGCTGTTGTCTTCCCTCTCTAATCTTTTCAATTAACCCCTTCCCCAAAGCACAGAATAAAGCTGAAGTACAGAGGCATCTTTCTTTGAAAGTTTTATAAAGAAGACACAGTTTTGAGATGCCCCCGTGGGAGAGGGAGAGAGAGGTGTGAATATGCAGTTATGCGCACATCACCAACTAGTAAACAAATGGCATCTGGAAAACCAGTCAGACCTGCCTGACAGGCTTGGGTGCGCAACACAGTGATCAGACAACAGGAAGTCTGTTTTGAAACCAGCTCAGCACAAAAGGACCGGAAACGCAGTCAAGAATGGGGGAACGGGATGCAGACAACTGGGGCATGACAGACAGATGTTGCTGTCTGATTGTGCATTTTAAATCCGTAAGGGAACAGCAGTGGCAATGGACCAAACTGCAC